GGAACACTTCAATAACTGCCCTCTAAAACATAAAAATTTAGTTTTTTCAAGTTTTTAAAATAATATTTTAACTTTACTAACTTCTGAAAGCAATTGTCGCAGTACTGTGTGTGTAGTTTCGAGCTGAGTACGAAAACGAACGGCTGCTCCTTGAGTAAAGTTGTCCCGGCGCTGATTTTCTTTTGCAAACGCATCTTGCTGTCGTCCTCGCCGGCTGCAGACTAAAATATCAAGCAGGAAATTTATTTTATTTTCAGGTACCAGTGAATATTGCTGCTATTTATAAATTTCCTCTTTGCGGAATTCGAAAGAGGACACCAATACATATTTTGCTGATATATTTAAAATGACTTAACTAATTGAGCACACAGTTGAGCAGTAACTGTGCAATCATTATATTAGATATTACAGTTGGGACCAATGGAAGTGTTGTGATTTGTAATTTGGCATAAAATGCTGGCACGTTTCAATAGTCAAGGGCACAAATGCAACTGCAATAGTTATTACATAGTTTTTTTTTTGTTTTTGAACGACATCAAGGTGTTGGGCTAATGTGCAGTTTACAATTGTGCTATATTTAAAATCGTACGCACATTGATTGCGCGCGATTACTACGTGCGCTGGTTGCTATTTTTAAAAGCGGATGTTTTGAGGAAAGTCGTCAGTGGGAAACTTAAGGGGCCAAAAATAGTGAAGAAAATATAACCTACCATTTTGTTACACTGATGCGATTGTTAACAATCATAACAGATTTAATTCTACAACACACATGTAGTTATTAGTTATTTTCTGTATTTAAAGCTATTCTATTATTTATAAGAATTATTTTGATGATTATTAACATGTAACAATCAAGAAACAAACAACGTTTTTCATTTGTTTTCGTCGAATGTCACGGTTACAGTGTTGCCATGATTACTTTCTTATTTTGAATTACAGCACCACCTATGCAGTATTTTTCATACTATAAACACAATCTGTGTTTGACAATTCGGTCTTTCACCTACAAACCAACTTGCATTTTTCACTCAATCGAGAATTCATTTCACGAACAATTTTGAAGGAAAATTATCAAATTTCCAGTTAAAGTACAGCGTAAAACACGTAAATTATCCTCAAAATGGTTCTGGAAAGTACAATGATATGGTGAGTAAATTAAACATCACTTTAGCTAACCTATAATGTCAGATGACTTTGCATCTTGTTCTTCTTTGTATCAAATATTAATTAATTTCTAAATGTTTACAGCGTTGATAACAGCGACTACATGCGAAACGGAGATTTCGTGCCTACAAGACTCCAAGCTCAACAAGATGCAGTGAATTTAGTCTGCCATTCGAAAACCAGGTCTAATCCAGAGAATAATGTAGGATTACTTACACTCGCAAAGTAAATATTAAAAAAAATAATAATAACATAAATATTAATAGAAATATTTTGTAGTGTGGAAGTTCTGGCAACTTTAACAAGTGATGTAGGCAGAATCTTGTCCAAATTGCATCAAGTAAACCCGAATGGTGACATTAATCTGCACACAGGCATCAGGATTGCTCATGTATGTTTATAACTATTTAATTATTAAGTGTTAATATGTTTATTTTATCAGCTGGCGTTGAAACATCGCCAAGGGAAGAACCACAAGATGCGTATCGTCGCATTTGTCGGTAGTCCAGTCGCTGCTGAAGAGAAAGAACTTGTTAAATTGGCTAAGAAGTTGAAAAAAGAGAAAGTCAACGTGGATTTGATCAGTTTCGGTGAGGAAACCATCAATACTGATGTCCTCACTACTTTTGTCAACACTCTAAATGGAAAAGTAAGAAAATCAGCATTTTTAAACATAAAAAAACTAAATTATTAAATATTAAATTTACAGGATGGTACTGGTAGCCATCTTGTAACTGTTCCACCAGGTCCCCATCTATCGGACGCTCTCATTACTTCTCCGATCATCCAGGGTGAAGATGGTACCGGTGGTGCTGGTCTTGGCACTTCCGGTTTCGAATTCGGTGTCGATCCGAATGAAGACCCCGAATTAGCTTTGGTAATTTTATTTTATATCGTTTTGCATTTAAAATTAATCTAAAAATCCGCAGGCATTGCGTGTTTCCATGGAGGAACAACGCCAGCGTCAAGAAAGTGACGCCGCTCGCGCAAAGCAAGCATCAACCACGGAAAGCGTCCCAGCTGCTATCAAAGAGGAACCAACCGAAGAAGCTCTCCTAGAGAGAGCCCTGGCTATGTCCATGGAAGAAGACGCTACTGAGCCGGTTGGTTCACACGCCAGCGTTGATTTCGCTAACATGACAGAAGAAGAACAAATCGCGTTCGCTGTGCAGATGTCTATGCAGGATACTCGTAAGCACTAATTAATCCATAATCCTATTATTTCTATTTTTAAATTTTATGTAAAATATATAATAGAAAATGTTGATGGTATAGAATCATCGTCCACGTCGCAAGTAACTTCAAAGAAAAGCGAGGAATCCATGGATGTGGAAGGCGATGAAGACTATTCTGAAGTGATGAATGACCCAGCGTTCCTGCAAAGTGTACTGGAGAATCTGCCGGGTGTTGATCCACAGTCGGAGGCCATTCGACAAGCAGTGGGTAATCTTGGCAAGGATAAGAAGAAAGACGACAAGGAGGACAAAGCAGAGAAGAAATAAATCCATTTTTTTTATGAAATCCAGTACTGATCGTATCTTATCTGAATATTTGTGCTCTTTAAGTGGGAGCTTATTACTTTACTTATAAACTGCACTAAGAATATATAGGGTGTATGATTTATACAATGTTTTTTTTAATTTTATCCCTTTGAAAAACATCAAATATTCTTTTATGGTGGATATTTCAAGGACTTTTCTTGCATATTTATGCATTTATATGATTTTTTGATGGTAGTTAATTAAATTTATTGTTTAATTACGTTTATTAGTTGAATTTAGAGGAAAATAGTTTTTCTTGTTATAAACAACAAAATCGACGGGAATTTAAAGTAAAATTATCCTTTTATCGTTTTATATTAATATCTACATGGTTTTTGTACTTTTCTTGGTATTTGAGCAGTCAATGTATAAGTTTGGTTAGGTTATGTTATGTTAACCTTAAAAACCATTATTTCAAGAACATTACTTGCATATTATGCATCTTTATGACTTATAGATGGTAATTATTGGTTTAATTGATTAATTTTATTGTTTAATGACGTTTATCGGTTGTATTTATTAAGAAAATAGATTTTTCTGCTATAAACAACAAAAATCGACGGGAATTTAAAGTAAAATTATCCTTTTTATCGTTTTATATTAATATCTACATGGTTTTTGTACTTTTCTTCTATTTCAGTAGTCAATGAATAAGTTTGGTTAGGTTATGTTATGTTAACCTTAAAACCATTATTTCAAGGATATTACTTGCATATTATGCAGTTTTATGACTTATAGATGGTAATTATTGGTTTAATTGATTAATTTTATTGTTTAATGACGTTTATCAATTGTATTTATCAAGAAAATAGATTTTTCTGCTGTAAACAACAAAAATCAACGGGTATTTAAAGTAAAATTATCATTTTTATCGTTTTATATTAATATCTGCATGATTTTTGTACTTCTCTTGGTATTTGAGCAGTCAATGTATAACTTTGGTTAATTTATGTTATTATAACCTTAAAAACAATTATTTCAAGAACATTACTTGTATAGATGGTAATTATTGGTTTAATTGATTAATTTTATTGTTTAATGACGTTTATCAGTTGAATTTAGCAGAAAAATAGTTTTTTTGCTATAAACAACAAAAATCGACGGGAATTTAAAGTAAAATTATCATTTTTATCGTTTTATATTAATATCTACATGGTTTTTGTACTTTTCTGGGTATTTGAGCAGTCAATGAATAAGTTTGGTTAAGTTATGTTATTATAACCTTAAAAACCATTATTTCAAGAACATTACTTGCATATTAAGCATTTTTATGACTTATAGATGGTAATTATTGGTTTTATTAATTAATTATATTGTTTAATGATGTTTATCAGATGAATTTCTAAAGAAAAATAGTTTTTTTGTTTACAAACACCAAAAATCAACGGGATTTTTACAGTAAAACCAATTTATCCTTTTATTTATATTTATACCTGACAAGTTTTTATACATTTTGGGTTGTTTTCGTTTTTACTGTTAAAATAAGCCTGTTATCATCGCACGCGATAGTTTTTTTCATGAATTATCTGACTCACTACCGCAGTTACCTCAATATACTCGCAGCTATACAAAACATACGAAAATTGCATGAATATTGACGTTTTTTCATTGCGATTTTATCATAATGTATTTATTTTGATTCATCACTTTCTGTATCCGAGTTGCGTATGCACCGTCATCGTTTTAAACTTTGCAACGTGGAACAAATCAGTTATCAGCCGAACATATGAAAAATTGATTAAACGTGTTCGCACTTTGATAACTTCAGCAAATATAAGTGAATGCAAACGAAATTCACGCAACTTTGTAATATTTCGCAGAAATGTATAAAAAGGTTGTGTAGACTTACAAAAAGTAGAAAAAAACAAAATAGACATACCAAAAATGACGCAAGTTGATTATTATGGAAGCAGTTTTAGTCATTAGTAAATTGAAAAACACTTTAAATATAAAAAAAACGTGACTTAAAAGTTTAACCCAATATTTTAGGTTATGTTAACCTAACCTAATTTTGACATGCTTTGAACCCTTTTTGACAGAATTTTAACAAAACCACCACAGAAAATCACTATATTCACTAAATTATTAATTATTTTATGCTTTAAAGTAATAATAATTAAATTAACAGCCAATAATTAGCCACAATTACAATCACCCACCATTTTTGACATTATTATACAGGTAATTACTTATGAGGCAAGAAAAAAAACTTACTTGTTATTTATTATTATTACTTAATTTGAAATCTCAGATATCCCGGCACTGATTGCCCACTCGTAGCTCGTTTATATTTTCATTTTCGTCGCGCGTTGACTCGACAGATAGCAACGTACAGCGTTTCGGATCAGTCGGTGTCGGTGCGTGGCTCGTCGGTACATCGCGACTACAACCTCCGAAACGCCTCACATTCTTGCATCATCTCCAGCGGAACACACGAGCCACCAAACCCCGAAACATTATTATCACACACACACACTGCACATCTGCGTGCGGAATTATTGATACTCCCAAGTGTTAATCAGACGTTTGTAACCTTGCATCATGAGTACATCCGTACAATCGCGACACCTGACTTGTTACAGAATTAATTCCTGCTTAAAACGCTCCTAGAAGTTGATTAATGCAAAGTTTAAAATAACAAATAGTACTATTACATAGATACATAGCAACCTGCGCCAAATAAAATGGTTAGTGATTACTTTTATTATGTGCTATGGTTATTGGCGCACACGGTGGTCGCGCTAATTACACAAACTCGTGATGTTTACCTCCTGGTATACAACAGACTGCTACGCGGCGACAAACTGCCGCAGCTGAGGAAGCTACCACAGCATTTAACAGTGCTGCTGCCTTCTAGTCCACCAACATCACCAGCATCCACCAACTCCAAGCATCTTGACATTCTAGTTAACTTGGTTTTGTGGTCGCTTGCCACAAATATACAATATGTGTCTTTTTATGACCCACTGGGTAAGCAAAACACTTCAAAAACTTATAAACAACAAAGTTTAATTAATAATTTTAATATTATTAAAATTTTAGGTCTTTTAGTTAAGTGGGAAGATGAATTAATGAAGAGAATTCAATCGAGAATGAATAAAAGTCAGAGGTTAATCTGGCATGGAGCAAATACAACCGGAAAGAACGGATTCGCCGGGCCGAAAGTGCATGTAAAGATTTTATCGGCTGGTCGTGCTGCCCTGGTCGATGCATGTCGACAATTATCACACACCGAGCAGGTTTTAACAGTGCCCATCATCAGTAAACACCTGCTGACCAACTATGAGTTCCCCGATCCGCAACTGGCGATTTATTTCGGGGAGTATTTGAATCTGTGCGGATATCCGCCGTGGCAGATTCGTCTCACTGAGTTTATACACGCCGGGCGCCATTTGCACGCGTTCGATGAGCGTGAATTCTTTTCGGTGCTGCAGTTTTATAGTAAATGTCAGCAGCGCGTAGGCAAATGAACTTTTGTGTTACAATTCCGTAGGATAAGTTGAATTGTTTCAATAGCTGAGCGTGTGTTGGCTCAGTTATGCCATTAACGTAATTTGTACATTCGTTTTTTATCAAAACACGTTTAGTTGTGTACAGTCATTTGTAACATTATTTGATTTCAACTTAAACAAAGTGAACGCATCACTGGGAGATGTAATAAGTAATAAAAAGTGGAAAATAATAATAAAATGAGAACGCACGCATTTCGGGTGGGCACAATGTAAATATTTTCGTTTGTCTTCTTACGTATGTTTGCACGAAACGCACGACATTTTTATTGTTTGATTGATTTATATTTTGTTCTTGCGTGGAAAAATTGTTGCGTGTAATGTTGGTTGCCTAACTATTAATGCGCACAAATATTTTTGCGTATATTTTACTAGGTATGAAGTTCAAAAATACGCACAATTTAACAATAAATCAATTTGCAATCATTTATATTACTAGAAACAAGTTGGAAATATTTAAATGTATGAAAAAATACGTAATTATGTAAAGTTCATGACTGTCCATGACATAACACAGTAATAATCAACTAATTAGCGATATCAGACGCCTTATCAAAATTGCGCGCGTATAAAATACTTGTGAGAACATTATTGGTAAGTTTCCCACTTGAAAACTGCACATTTACCTTGGTAATTTCAAATTACACGTCGCATTTCAACGTTTAACCTTACTTTCAATGCATTCCAACTTATCTTGATGTTTTCCAATGCAATTGTTAATTATAATCATTTCGTAATGAATAGTTTATGGGTCAATTAAAGCTTCTTACTAACCGACAAGGTGGGAGCGGATATTGGAAGTGCTGCATCAGTACTTCACACTTATTCTACTTCTTCAATTGTTAAAGTATGTATAAGTTTCATAAGAGAAAGCCAATTAACATTTTTTGACCACAAAGTTTTCACTTTTTTGTTGTTAGTCATACTCTGCAGATTCACCTTTCAACAACTATAAATAGTGATGAAACCGCTCAAAAATCGCTAAAAATGTCTAGAAAATTATTAAAACTTGGCGTGGCTGCTTCCTCACTGGGTGCATACACCTGGGCCTTGCGAACTGATCATGAAACAGTCAATTCCATTGGATTGATACGTTTATCCAGGGCAGCATACTCAGTTTTCAAAATATCTGTCATCTACCGCACGAATCTGTATGGTACTGGTCTGGATCATGAATCAGATGAGTATTTACAGATCAAATCAGCTTGTCATCGTCACGGTGCTGAAAATCTGCTGGATTTATGCTGTAAAAACAAAGGAATATACATAAAAGTTGGTCAGTATGTAGCAGCACTAGATTATTTACTGCCGAAAGAATATGTTGAGACCATGAAGGTATTACATAGCCACGCACCGGAAAATACTCTAGACGATGTAAGCCGTGTCCTAAAAGAAGACCTAGGCAAAGATATCAAAGATCTCTTTAGTAGTTTCGAAGAGAAACCTTTGGGCACTGCAAGTTTAGCGCAGGTGCATAAAGCAGTCCTGCATGATGGTCAAACAGTGGCTGTGAAAGTACAACATCCTTTTATACGTAAAAATTGCAAAACCGACTTGAAAACGATGGAATATTTAGTGAAAATCGTCTCCTGGGTGTTTCCGGAGTTTCAGTTTCAATGGGTTGTTGATGAAACGAAGAAAAACGTGCCGATTGAGTTGAATTTCGAGATTGAGGCCAGTAATGCAACAAAAATCGCGGAATTGTTTAAGGAGTGCAAATGGTTGAAAGTGCCTAAAGTCTAGTAAGTAAAACAGGTTAATAAACATAACCAAAGTTATGAATACGAATCTAACCTTAAATATATTTAAATATATTATGTTTTCAGTGATGATTTGTCCACGCAACGTGTCTTAATCATGGAGTTCGTCGAAGGTGGCCAAGTGAATGATTTGAAGTACATTAAACAGGAAAAAATTGATCCGTTTGAAATCAGTGCAAAACTTGGCCAGTTGTATTCCAAAATGATTTTTATCCATGGTTTCGTCCATAGTGATCCACATCCTGGTAATATTTTAGTCAAAAAGACTAAACAGGGAACTCTAGAGCTTATTCTTCTAGACCACGGAATTTACGCTGTAATTATTACTTTTTAATCGAGATTATTACAAAGTAATCATGATTTTTTCAGAATTTAAGTAGGAAAACAATGGTAGACTATGCAAATCTCTGGTTGAGTATCCTCGACCGGGACAGAATAAAAATGCGCACATACTGCAGTAATCTAGGCATCAGCGATAAAGTATATCCGATTTTTGCGTGTATGATAACAGGCAGAACGTGGGATTCCATCATGGCGGGTCTAGAAAGGTAACCATGATATTCCTAACCTAAAAATTTACCGAAATTCAATGTTTTTTAGTTCAAAACGTACGAAATTCGAAAAAGACCGCATGCAAAACGAATTCCCAAAACTATTACCCAACATCACCGAAATCCTCAACCAGGTAAACCCGGAAATGCTGCTAATACTCAAAACCAACGATTTGATGCGTGGAATTGAATCAACATTGAAAACCACCGCAAGAATGGGCGCCTTCCAAGTGATGTCCGAATGCTGCGTGAAATCCGTGTACAAAAGTCGCATTGACGACGCCCGCGATCGTTTCAGCAAGTTAACCAACACAATGGCGAAATACTGGCTGTTATTCAAGCTGAATATGTACTACACTTACTTGAACCTGCGCAGTGGTAGATTCATCTTCGCTTGACGCACGCCCGCATCAAAAAAACCACAAGTCTTCCATGATTTTTTAAATGAATGAACGTTTTGTTATATTATAAATTAATTATTACAATATTTTTAAACTAGTTTATCGTAAGCTGAAAAATCCTACTTGTGAAGACTTAATCCAGGTCCGCAGTGGAATCAAAAAAAAAACACCTAAGGAAGACAAAACGCAAGTTATTTCCGATTCTCGCCGACAATTCACGACTCTGAGTGATTCGCGTGCGGCGCTCACTCAGAGGTGAATGTCACATGCTTGGATTTGTATACAACCTGGGCGTGTAACTGTAACCTTGGGCAATGTTCGCGCAATCAACATCGTTTTCAATGCTTATGGGACCTCTTACCCCTACCGGCGTCGTACGAGCGTGAGCGCGACCGACGGCGACGGCTGCGTGACCGCGACCGTCGGCTGCTGCGGCGGTCACTGCGATAACTGCTGCGATTCGATCGCGATCTAGATCGGCTGCGTGATTTGCGACGCGTGGAAGAGCGTCGTTTGGTGATTGACGGCGAGCGTCGGCGACGATCTCGGCGATAACGGCGTTCGGATGATGAAGAGCTCGAGCGGGAGGACGACCGACTGCTAGATGGCGCTGTTGAACGTTTTTGTACTCTTCTGGTTGGTTTCGGGGTATGGGAACGACGATCTGGTACAAAATTCACTTAAAAAATCTTAATTTTCATATAAACTAACCAAAAAATACCTTGGGTTTTTTCCGGCGGTGAATTTTTTGAAGAATCTGTACTTTCGGGACTCTCACGTCGGGGTTTACCCGCGTCGCCATCTTTTTCAGCCTCTGCTTCAGCCAGTCTGTTCTCAATCTCACGTTCTGTCTTCTCAAACTCTTCTTTTCGTCGTTTTATTATATCCTAGTCAAAAAATTAGATTAAATTTCATTTCTATAACTTAACATAACCTAAAACTTACTTTGAGTTCATTATCCGAGTCAACTTCGGTCTTTTCGTCCTCCCCGCCACCCTCATCACTGCTCTCTCCTGATCCATCATACGCACCCAGCCCTAAATTAAACTCAAGTCAGATAATCCCACAACTTCACCTAACCTAACCTCCCTTTCGAACAGAACTCAAAATTTCACAACATAACCAAATCGTTAAAGAATTTAGTGAAAGTATTGAAGACACTTACCGAGCCTGGCACTTAGGTTCGCACCTGCGCTGGGTGCTGTTACGTGCTGATCAACGGCTGAGGGTTAAATCACATTTTAGTTTCAACATTGCCCTTTGCGCTTGCTGCGAACGTAATAAACTCTACGCCCCCAGCACTAGCTTGGAGCGGCAGAAACGTACGCGCTATAACATCCACATTAAATGCTACATGCTAGTTTACACACGTGGCGCATGTATTTGTATTATTTATTGCTTATTTGGTGTGGTCTACTAATGTACTTTGGGGCGAAATTGTGATGTGTGTTGCATATGTGTATAAATGAACAAACCTTTCAGTTTCCTTACGTGCCGTTGCTGTTCCTCTTTACAGATCTGCGCTATTTCACGATTTGTTACCTTTAGAAGAATCTCCGTCATTGTACGTCGCACTTTTAACATCTAAACATGTTAAAATCAATAAAATTTCATTAAAACAATCAAAAACATTACCATTTCTTCGTGGGTTAACACAATTGGGACACGATCGGTGATTTGTGGCGGTGGGGGCGCCACTGGGCTCCTTTCTTCATCATCTTCGCTGTCATTCAGTGGAGAACCATTACCATAATCACTCTTAAAGATAAAATTTTATATTAAATTATTAATTTTACTAAAAATTAATGAAACCTACCAATGGTTTGACTAATTTTTCATTTTCTCGCACGGTACTCTTCAGTATTTCCATGGCGTCCTCTCTAAGTCGATTTTTCTCCTCGTCAACATCATCAAACTGATCCCTAACGCGATATTTATCCATTTGTTTAAGTTTATCGCGCTCCATCTTCTCGAGACCTTCGCGTATCCACGCAGGAAGTTGTTTCCTTTTGTTTGCATCAATCGTAGGTGGTGAAGCTTCACCAGGTTGAATGGTATTCACACTCGAAGTTAGATGTGGTGGATGTGGGGCTGTTTTAAGCGGAATATTCACTTTACTAAAGCGTTTGTTATGCGGTTTCATTATTCTTGGAGCTGCTGAAGAAGATCGTGCATTCGGGCTGCCATTTCCAGACCAATATCCTGTATTACCACTACTAAACAATAATTTAAACATTATTAATCTATTAATCTGCATTGAAACTAAAATTTTTACCTAAATTGCTCATCTTTTGCAGTTGTACTTGTTGTATAAGCATTATAAGCAGGAGTTGGAAGCAAAGGTGCTTTATTCATAGGTAAAGACGAAATGGTAGGTGGCCAAGCACTGCCACCCCATGAATTCCAATTATTTGGTGCTTGTTGTTGTTGGGTGCTCCAGTTTGGACCATCATTCGAATCCGAACCCATGTTATTCGAGTCTGAGTCGTTTTCAACGTCCATGGGCGCTTCGCCTTTGGTTGTCGACGGCGTGCTGATCACCGGCGGAGGCGGCGCCGTCAGCAACTTGTCCGGAAGCGGCGGCCCTGCCTCCTTCATCTTGATCCATTGATGGGCCAACGCCGCCCAGTCGACTTGCTCGTTCTGCATGCTCTGATACGCGGACGCATTCAGGGGCCATTGCGTGTAGTTCTGCGACTCGGTGGAATCACTTCCCGAGAACATTTCTCACATTTTACGCACGGTAAATATTTATGGACCCGGTTGACAACTGCGGCAGAGATTCGAGATGAATGCGAAGGTCACAGAGGTTATGATGTTAGACAAGTGACATTTTCGAACCAAATTTTCAATATTTTCGCGTTATTTTCACGCAAATTATTAAAATACTGCTTAAAAACATCATAAATGTTATTATTTCATCATAACAACATGAAATTCACGCGAAATATTTAAATTAACGTAAAATAAAGTAAAAGCGTTTGTGATTGGTTGATGAGAGTACGGATAAAATGCGCGTCCGGCAAGTGGCGCCTTTAGACAACTTTCAAGCGGCGCGTTTACGAACCTCGGCGTAAACTTAATTTACCGCAACAACTACTACTACCCGGAGTAGTCTTTGGCGAGTGTAACTAGTTCTCGGTGCGCTCACTGCGCTCAGTTGCACTCCGACGATTCCGGTAGCTTTTCGCTCGCGTTTACAAAGCGTAGCGCCGCGCATCGTTCCACCTGCGCCCGAGCAGCCATTATCTACCTGTCCGTCGAGCGCGCAGGTAGCAACTTTTTCGTATTTTCTTCGTCCGTTCATTTAGGGGGCGAGTCGCGCCGTCCGCCGATAATTACATTAGCGCGTTTTGTTGGTTTTGTTGGCGTCGGATCTCGTGTGCGTGGGTGTTGCCAACAAATAATCCGTGCGTTTCCTTGGCAACGTGTGGTGTAATTGTAAATACCATCGATTAATTACAATCGTGATTCATTGCTGTAATGTGTTGTTGTTTTCTGTGCAATAAAAACTAAAAATTTATAAGAAATAAATCATGTGATGAGTGTGAATTAGCATAGTGTTGTGCGCGTGCGAATTTGACTAAAAGTGATTCAGTGCAGTGATAAAATATGGAAATGTCGTGTCGAAGGTGGAGCAACAATAGCAACAGCTTTTCGTTTACGTGCATAGGTAAGCGCGAATCGCAGGTTGAGTCACCTTCTTTCTCGCAGCGTCGGAGCGACGCGCGGTCGTGTCTCGATAATCCGATATTACTTAAGCCGAGTTGAACTCGGGGCACACGATTCGTAGAAGAAGTTCAGTCACGGGCATATACAGCGCGCAGCGGAGTGGTAAAACCGGCTCCGCCAAATTTCCATTTGTCGTTTTGAGGTTATGTTCATTACGATTTTCTCCATTTCAATTTCTAACGGATAAAATATAATTAAAACCGAAAAACATGCTAAATTATACATCAAATTAAAGAAAATTTAAATGTTTTTACACTTATATAACTTACAACATTGATTCAATTGTTTTTCATCGTTTAAACTTTAATTTAACAACGCGAACAAAACTGTGTGTTGAAACATATTGTGAGGTTACTTTGTCACTGCGTGTAGGCAACCATACATACACCAAACTAAAACACTCTACAAAGTGTTACAAATGCGCAAACATTCAAAACAATATTAAATTAATTAAATTACACATACAATATAAACAATAGAACAATTTATAGAGTTCGTGATGTGTTTTCTAACTATCGGCAATTTAAACATCGATTACACGTGTAGCACGACTACAGTAAATCGAGTAATAGCAATAAACAACAAAACAATAGCGCAGAAAACAAAAATTTCAACTGAGGATCAAATAATTACATTGTATATTTTCATATTGTTGTCATGGGAGAATTTAGATGTGAACCAAACACTAAAAACACTAAAATTTTACTTAAAATTTATGGTTATCACGTTACATGTGAAAAAATATGTTTTGAAGGAAAATAGTAAAGTATCGGATGTCTGGAAACATAATTCAAGCTCTCAAGTGTATTACTAGTGCCTTGAAACCTGTCAAGACCGAAGAACATTTCCTTTCTCTATGTTTTCAAGCATTTTAAGCCTCTGGCAACCGATTTCAGCTTATAAAACTTAACCTGTTCCGTTAGCTTCTACTTTCCACTCAATTTCTATACAAAAATGCATTTTTCGTTTGCATCATTTACATCACAACGATCCAATTGCTTTGTTTCATCTCTCATCGTCTCCTTTCTCCTCTTTAAATGCTTCTCACTTACTTATGCAAAGTAATATTCGTTAAACGTCAATTATTTATACTTTACCGAAGTAAAAGTCTTGTTTTGATGGTATTTTTTGCTAGCCACATTGAAACAATAAAGTTTCGCACTGATACACACCGCACAATCTAAATGAATCGCAATAAAAGTGCAAAAAAATGAAAATTTCATTAGAACTTCCCCAAATTGTATAATGGCCGATTTAATTACGTTTTTAATGAGTTAAAGACTGAACGCTTCGGTAAATATTTAGCAAAACGCGCTAGAAATTTGCATTTGCACGCATGCGCAGCATATTAACCCCTAAATTTATACTTCCGTTTTATTATCCGGCACGTTTACGTCATAAAATGGCGGCGCGCATCTGTTATTTATAAAAATCAACTAGATAACAATGCTATTGCAGTAATAACATTCCGCATTGATTACTAATCCGTATCTGTGACTGATACAAAAGAATTCACGCCATTCACGAGTCGTGACACAAAACAATGCGGAATATCTCCACGAATACGTGAATTAAAGACGATCCATCATCATTTATGACTTACAGTTATTTTTGGTCGCTGCGTTTTATTGCTTCCTCCTACATTCTAATAGAACTTAACTGTTTTATCATTTATTACATTATTGGTGTGATATTAAGCTATAAAACTTAGAATATATCAGTGTATTAATGTGTAAAATTGTTTCCTGTCATAATATTTCAAAAGTTTTGCTTGTTTTTGGAGTAAAATGCGAAAATATTGTGTAGAATGATTAGGCAACCAAACATTCACCAAAATAAAACACTACTAAGTGATACAAAAGCTCAAAAATATAAAAATGTATTAAATATAGGTATCTAACGTAGAATATATCAATTTATTAATGTGTAAAATGGTTTTCTTTCATAATATTTCATAAGTTTTGCTTTTTTGCAAGAAAAACTGCATAAATATTGCATAAAATGATTAGGCAACCAAACTTACACCAAAATACAAGTCTACCAAGTGATACAAAAGCTCAAAAATACAAAAATATTGTTATCTAACGTAGAATATATCAATTTACTAATGTGTAAAATGGTTTTCTTTCGTAATATTTCAAAATTTCTGCTATTTTGCGGGAGAAACTGCAGAAATATTGCATAAAATGATTAGGCAACCAAACTTACATCAAAATACAAGTCTACCAAGTGATACAAAAGCTCAAAAATACAAAAATATATTAATATGGTTATCAAACGTAGAATATATCAATTTATTAATGTGTAAAATAGTTTTCTTTCATTATATTTCAAAATTTCTGCTATTTTGCGGGAAAAACTGCAGAAATATTGCACAAAATGATTAGGCAACCAAACTTACACCAAAATACAAGTCTACCAAGTGATACAAAAGCTCAAAAATACAAAAATATATTAATATGGTTATCTAACGTAGAATATATCAATTTATTAATGTGTAAAATGGTTTTCTTTCATAATATTTCAAAATTTCTGCTATTTTGCGGAAAAACTGCAGAAATATTGCATAAAATGATTAGGCAACCCAACGTACACCAAAATACAAGTCTACCAAGTGATACAAAAGCTCAAAAATACAAAAATATATTAAATATTGTTATCTAACGTAGAATATATCAATTTATTAATGTGTAAAATAGTTTTCTTTCATTATATTTCAAAATTTCTGCTATTTTGCGGGAAAAACTGCAGAAATATTGCACAAAATGATTAGGCAACCAAACTTACACCAAAATACAAGTCTACCAAGTGATACAAAAGCTCAAAAATACAAAAATATATTAATATGATTATCTAATGTAGAATATATCAATTTATTAATGTGTAAAATGGTTTTCTTTCATAATATTTCAAAATTTCTGCTATTTTGCGGGAAAAACTGCAGAAATATTGCATAAAATGATTAGACAACCAAACATACACCAAAATAAAACACTACTAAGTGATACAAAAGCACAAAAATACAAAAATATTGTTATCTAACGTAGAATATATCAATTTACTAATGTGTAAAATGGTTTTCTTTCGTAATATTTCAAAATTTCTGCTATTTTGCGGGAGAAACTGCAGAAATATTGCATAAAATGATTAGGCAACCAAACTTACATCAAAATACAAGTCTACCAAGTGATACAAAAGCTCAAAAATACAAAAATATATTAAATATTGTTATCTAACGTAGAATATATCAATTTATTAATGTGTAAAATAGTTTTCTTTCATTATATTTCAAAATTTCTGCTATTTTGCGGGAGAAACTGCAGAAATATTGCATAAAATGATTAGGCAACCAAACTTACATCAAAATACAAGTCTACCAAGTGATACAAAAGCTCAAAAATACAAAAATATATTAATATGGTTACCTGACGTAGAATATATCAATTTACTAATGTGTAAAATGGTTTTCTTTCATTATATTTCAAAATTTCTGCTTTTTTGCGGGAAAAACTGCAGAAATATTGCACAAAATGATTAGGCAACCAAACTTACACCAAAATACAAGTCTACCAAGTGATACAAAAGCTCAAAAATACAAAAATATATTAATATGGTTACCTGACGTAGAATATATCAATTTACTAATGTGTAAAATGGTTTTCTTTCATTATATTTCAAAATTTCTGCTTTTTTGCGAAAAAAAAACTGCGAAAATACTGCATAAAATGATTAGGCAACCAAACGTACACCAAAATACAAGTCTATCAAGTGATACAAAAGCTCAAAAATACAAAAATATATTAAATATTGTTATCTAACGTAGAATATATCAATTTATTAATGTGTAAAATAGTTTTCTTTCATTATATTTCAAAATTTCTGCTATTTTGCGGGAAAAACTGCAGAAATATTGCACAAAATGATTAGGCAACCAAACTTACACCAAAATACAAGTCTACCAAGTGATACAAAAGCTCAAAAATACAAAAATATATTAATATGGTTATCTAACGTAGAATATATCAATTTATTAATGTGTAAAATAGTTTTCTTTCATTATATTTCAAAAGTTTTGCTTTTTTGTTGGAAAAACTGCAAAAATACTGCATTAAATGATTAGGCAACCAAACTTACACCAAAATACAAGTCTACCTAGTGATACAAAAGCTCAAAAATACAAAAATATATTAATATGATTATCTAATGTAGAATATATCAATTTATTAATGTGTAAAATGGTTTTCTTTCGTAATATTTCAAAATTTCTGCTATTTTGCGGGAAAAACTGCAGAAATATTGCATAAAATGATTAGGCAACCAAACGTACACCAAAATACAAGTCTACCAAGTGATACAAAAGCTCAAAAATACAAAAATATATTAAATATTGTTATCTAACGTAGAATATATCAATTTATTAATGTGTAAAATAGTTTTCTTTCATTATATTTCAAAATTTCTGCTATTTTGCGGGAAAAACTGCAGAAATATTGCACAAAATGATTAGGCAACCAAACTTACACCAAAATACAAGTCTACCAAGTGATACAAAAGCTCAAAAATACAAAAATATATTAATATGATTATCTAATGTAGAATATATCAATTTATTAATGTGTAAAATGGTTTTCTTTCATTATATTTCAAAATTTCTGCTTTTTTGCGAAGAAAAAACTGCGAAAATACTGCATAAAATGATTAGGCAACCAAACGTACACCAAAATACAAGTCTACCAAGTGATACAAAAGCTCAAAAATACAAAAATATATTAAATATTGTTATCTAACGTAGAATATATCAATTTATTAATGTGTAAAATAGTTTTCTTTCATTATATTTCAAAATTTCTGCTATTTTGCGGGAAAAACTGCAGAAATATTGCACAAAATGATTAGGCAACCAAACTTACACCAAAATACAAGTCTACCAAGTGATACAAAAGCTCAAAAATACAAAAATATATTAATATGGTTATCTAACGTAGAATATATCAATTTATTAATGTGTAAAATAGTTTTCTTTCATTATATTTCAAAATTTCTGCTTTTTTGCGGGAAAAACTGCAAAAATACTGCATAAAATGATTAGGCAACCAAACGTACACCAAAATACAAGTCTATCAAGTGATACAAAAGCTCTAAAATACAAAAATATATTAAAATGGTTTTCTTTCGTAATATTTCAAAATTTCTGCTATTTTGCGGGAAAAACTGCAGAAATATTGCACAAAATGATTAGGCAACCAAACGTGCACCAAAATACAAGTCTACCAAGTGATACAAAAGCTCAAAAATACAAAAATATATTAATATGGTTATCTAACGTAGAATATATCAATTTATTAATGTGTAAAATAGTTTTCTTTCATTATATTTCAAAAGTTTTGCTTTTTTGTTGGAAAAACTGCAAAAATACTGCATTAAATGATTAGGCAACCAAACTTACACCAAAATACAAGTCTACCTAGTGATACAAAAGTGCAAACGTAAAAGTTTAATAAATAAAGTTATCTAACGTAGAATATATCAATTTATTGCTGTGTACGAGTGTAAAATGGCTTCCTTTCAAAACATTTCAAAAGTTTAGCTTGTCTTGAGGCTAAAGAAGAAAGACTAATGATTATAATCATTCGGTGCGCCGGAAATAGCCTGATTTGAAGATTCCGCTGTTTGTTATTCATCTCTTTGTTCGCATGCGAGCCGTTCAAACAACGTACTTAAGCTACGTGTGTACTTACGCAGCGTTTACACTCCAACTATGACTATGACAAACGAATTCGACTTCTTCGTTTATTCTCCGCGTGGACGCCCGGATGAATTCGCGAATGTATAATTTTTTTCCTTCAAGTTGCGAAGTCAGAAACATGCGGCGCGGAACGGAATTTACTTATATTACTTTTCCACTCGAGCCACTTAACAAAATGGCGGTGTGGGAATTGCAAGCACTCCAGTGCGAACAACGCAAGAAGTAAATAAATATAATTGATGTGGATGTGTATAATAACTCACGCTATGTGAAAAAAGGGCTCCGGGAAATAGTTATATGAGTTAAGTAGAAGTTTAACCATCTGTTTGATGATTAATTGGTTGCCTACACAACGCACGTTTGAGGTTACGTGGAATAAGTTGATTTTAACGAGGAAATATTGAATTATAGAGGATGTTTGTAATATAAGAGAGAAGTGAAGAGAAATCTAAATGGAAATTATGTAAAAATTATGTTGTTTTGTTTATATTTTTAACAAAAAAATTTTTGTGTTAAAAATGTTTTTGTGGTGTTTTTTATGGTTATTTTAATTTGTTGAGGATTGAAATTTCATCAAAGTGCACTTATGATAATGATTAATAATCATAACAACTTTGATCTTGTTCGGTGTAATCATTCTCGAGATAATCACTTTTAAAGTGTCGGTAACACTTCAATTTAAGTAAAATTATAACTTTTGAAGTGTTTATTTGATTTTAATATCTATTTCATTGTTATTATTAGATTATTAGATGTTTTCCGTCATTATAAGGTTAGGTTTCATGACTATCTTTACGCGAAATGAACATGGCGGCCAATGTAAACTGCCTTTTTATTTGGAGAACCCCTGGAGACCTGCGACTCTACTGCTGGACGACTCAGGCACGACTGAGCGTGTTACGCACTGCGCGCTGCCCTTTTATACTTGCGACAACCCGCAAATAGTGGTGGGGGTAGCGCTACTCACCCTATGCGTTCTCCCACGTGGCGCTGCTTCCCCCACTAGTCCAGTAATCCACTCGCAGCTCTCTAAATACCTGCCCCTTTATCTTACACTCCTTGGTCCCATTTGGGTCACTTTTGAGGATGTCTATACCCTTTTTTGTAATTCATCTCTTCTTTTTTTTTTCAGGACTCCTTTTACTCTTGACCATAACAAAATCACATGCACAATACTATGGTCCCTCAGACCAACCCGAGGCCTACTTCAATGGGTCCTCATACATCCGCCTGGAAACAACCATATCACTCAAACGATTAACTGGTATGTCCTTCCGGACATGCGCTGGAGGTGAACTGATCTCACAACAACTCAACGACAACATCTTCCAAATCTCCGTCAACATGGACGGCCTCAACTACTACGCCAAAACAACTGGTAGGCAATACAAAGCGCTCATTCCTGGTATGTTCCTGAATAACCAATGGCACAACGTCATGTTACACTATGGATTTGGTAATCTTACTCTACGCATCGACGGAGATGAAGAACTGCTGGCAAACTCAACACATCAGAGTGATTTACTAAGTGGGGATCTGTATAATGATGGTGCGGTCCTGATTGTTGGTAAACACTACAACGGGTGTATCCTGGAAGGTCCCTCAATCAACTTCAACAAGTCCAGTATTCAGGCCCATAGTGTCGCCTTTACAAAATGTCCCATCCCCAGGGATACCTGTCAAGTCCGTCAGGATGTAAAGATGCCTCGAGCGTTTGATTTCTGTCAAACTGACCCATGTCTCACACATGGTGTGTGCAAGAACGAGGTAAACACCTACAGCTGCGAATGTTCCCCACGGTACGCAGGGAAAAACTGTGAGATTGACTTGGGGAACCCTTGTGATGCGGTACCACCAGTTTGCAAGAATGGCGCTGTGTGTATCGATGACATATCCGGTAACTTCAAGTGTAATTGTCCTTCTGGGTTCACGGGGAAGATGTGTGACACCGAAGTGAAGATAAACCCGCTGTGTTTAAACAACCCATGTCAAAATGGCGGCGTGTGTCAGGTGCGTGATGATTCCGTCGAGTGTTTGTGTCCCAGTGGGTTCCTGGGAGCTAAGTGTGAGGTCAACGTCAATGAATGTGATTCATCACCTTGTCGCAATGGAGGTTTGTGTATTGATGGTCCCAATAACTTCACATGTGATTGTGCTCATACTGGATACAATGGGGTTACCTGCGAGGAGAATATTGATGAATGCCAGGCGAAACCCTGTTTGAACCGTGGGATCTGTTATGATACTTATGGGAGCTATATGTGTCAATGTTTAATGGGTTATGATGGTCTCAACTGTGAAATTGTAAGCTAAAACCTCCAAGTTTAAGGTTTAACCTCTAAATTATTAATTTTTGTTTTCCATATAGAAAATCAGTGATTGTAAGCTACAACCATGTTTTAACCATGGTAAATGTGAGGAAAAGAATGGCCGCTATGAATGTCATTGCCCACCTGGTTATGGTGGTTACCATTGTGAGATGGAGCTTCGCGCAGCTGGTTCCTCCTGTGATGAGCACTTCTGTGGACCTTTAGCTGAATGCACAGAGATATCAGGTGTCCCTACATGTGCCTGCAAAGCAGAATATGGTGGGGTTTACCCGAATTGTGTGAACAGTAACTGTCCCCTGGGTACACAGGTATAAAACTGTTTATTACTTGCATTAACCATGTTTCTTCTTAATATTATGTCATCTATTCATTGTGTGCATGCTGCATGTTCACGAAAAGAAGCTAATAACATTTTAATCGGGGCCTTGCAAGGAAGCGTTATGGCTGCTAACGACTTCCGTTACGTTGACGTTGGCGCATTGAAAAGTGCAAATCGAATAACGATCTAACAAATCCAACGCGCGGTGAAGAAATGGCACAGAGTCGCGACTGTGATGAATCATCTGTTGCAACAACAAAGATGGCTAATTGCGCAAAGAAACCATGTCTGCATGCTGTTAACTGTAAAGACTTTGTGAGTGTAGAGTTGGCTGCTTCTTTCTTGTTTGTTATTGTGTAGTTAACTAGTTAGAATATCATGGGGACTATTGTTAACCAAAAAAATGTTGAGTTTCGTAGTTTGCTGGTTACTATTGCGTCTGTAAGCCGGGTTGGTTCGGCCTGAATTGTCACGTAAACGCGTTTCATTCAAAAACTTCACATGCTGACGCGTCGTGGCACAATGGTGGCACTTTCACTCAATCTTGTGGTATGTGGTACCTTTTCACACACCAATACACACTAATATTCACTTTCAATCCATTCATTTTCACTTTTAAGATTTTACCAATCATTTTTTATTATTAGGTGACCGTTGTCAGATCTCTCTGGACGATTGCACAAAATTCGCTTGTCTGAATGGCGGTTCCTGTGTTGAGACCTCAACAGGGTACCATTGTGATTGCCCTAAGACCCACGTGGGAGCCATGTGTGAACGATCCATAAAAGCAGCCTCCTGTGAGTTTAAACCCTGTCAAAACAACGCCACATGCCACCAGGACCCAAATGGTCGAGATTACACCTGTGTGTGCCTACCAGGTTTCGAAGGCAACAACTGTGAGCTAGATATTGATGATTGTCTAGGTGTGACATGTCCCACAGGTAAAATCTGTGTGGATATGATCAACGCGCATGAATGTCAATGCCCCGAGGGTTTTACTGGTGATTCATGCCAGATAGACATTGGTCAGGACCCATGTGGGGTTAATCCATGCCAAAATGGCGAGTGTAACCCTTCACCACCCGGTGGTCATCATAATTACACCTGCACCTGTGCTTCTGGTTACCAGGGATTCAATTGTGATAAGGATATCAACGAATGTGAGTTACCTGGTGTGCCAATTTGTAATAATGGTATCTGTGTTAACAAAGAGGGCAGTTTTCAATGCTACTGCAAACCAGGTTATACAGGGGAAAGATGTAATCTTGATTTTGATGAATGTTTGTCCCAACCATGCAAGAACAACGCAACTTGTATCAACAAAGTGAATAACTACGAATGTGTCTGCCCACCTGGTTACCAAGGGAAGGATTGTAACATTAACATTGATGAGTGTGCTAGTAATCCCTGTATGATGGGATCAACATGCGTGGATGGGATCAATAAGTTTACTTGTCTCTGTCAAGCTGGGTTAACAGGTGTCCAGTGCGAGATTGATATTGATGATTGTTTATCTTCGCCATGTTTACACGATGCAATATGTATCGATGGGCTTAATATGTATACCTGCAACTGTACAGATACAGGTTATACAGGTGAACACTGCGAGATCAATATCAATGATTGTGTTTCGAATCCCTGTCAAAATGGGGCATTGTGTATTGATTTAGTTAAAGATTACATGTGTGAATGTTTCGATGGTTATGTTGGTAAGAACTGTCAGGAGGATATCAACGAATGTGAATCCTCACCATGTTTGAATTATGGTGTGTGTCTTGAGCGCAGTAATGCTACTCTTTATGATACAACCCTGGAATCCAACGCGAACCTACCTGCAGTGTTCCGGAAGCAGTTTGAGTTCCATAATGCTTCCGGGTATGAATGTATGTGCGTTCCTGGTGTTATTGGAGAAAACTGTGAGATCAACGTCAACGAATGTGATTCCAACCCTTGTCGGAGTGGTACCTGCGTGGATAAGATCGGAATGTATATCTGTGAATGCGATGAGGGTTTTGAAGGTGCCCAGTGCGAGATAGACATCGATGAGTGTGAGAAATATCAACCGTGTGTCCATGGGTCTTGTATTGATAAGAGGGCGAATTATTTCTGTGACTGCGAGGCGGGTTACGGAGGAAAGAACTGTTCTGTTGAATTGACAGGTTGTCGTGAGAACCCTTGCCAGAATAATGGTACCTGCAAGCCGTACCTTGATAATGAGACAATGCATAAGTTTAATTGCACGTGTCCACATGGTTTTCATGGTCATACCTGTGAAAGGGTTACCACGATGTCCCTAGCTGGTAATTCCTTGTTGGTTGTGAATACTTCTAGGGATGAAGGTCATGATATCCAATTCAGGTTCAAGACCACTTTGGGAGATGGTTTCCTGGCGTTGGGTAAAGGTTCCACTTATTATATTCTGACTCTGGCAAAGGGTAGGCTCAACTTACATTCGTCCCTGTTGAATAAGTGGGATGGAGTGTTTGTTGGAAGTAATCTCAATGACAGTAGCTGGCAGAGGGTGTTTGTCGCTATCAATTCATCCCACCTGGTCCTTTCTGCGAATGATGAGCAAACCATCTACCCAATCAACTATAACGATAATAATGGATCATCCACCAGTTTCCCTACAACCTATTTTGGTGGTTATCCGAATAATCACAGGAAACTAGCCCATGTCCAACCATTTTTGGTTGGTTGCGTTGAAGATATCATCGTGAACGGAGAATGGGTCCTCCCTGATACTCAAAACGCTTCCTGGGTGGGTTTCCAGAATGTAGTCACCGGTTGTCATCGAGAACCACAATGTGAACCCAATCCCTGTCACTCAGGTGGTCATTGTACGGATTTATGGAGCAATTTCAGTTGTACCTGTGAAAGACCTCATCTTGGGTACAACTGTCAGTATAATTACACAGCAGCTACCTTTGGTTATGAGAACATCACTGATTCTTTGGTGACCGTCACAGCGACAGATGCAGCTCGACGTGCGATAAGGTCCATTGTAGATATCTCAATGTTTGTACGTACAAGACAATCACGTGGACAAATCTTTTACCTGGGATCTGCTTTGGGTTCGGCCAATCTTCAGAATGAGAGTTACATTGCCGCCCAGCTTGAAGGCGGGGAACTTTTAGTACGGATACAGTTCAATGGGACGTTTGAAGCGTATACTGTAGGTGGAGTGAAGTTGAACAATGGTCATGATCACTTGATTCAAGTGATTCGGAATGTTACACTGGTCCAGGTTAAGCTAAACGGTACCGAATACTTCCGGAAGACTATATCTGCCACTGGGACATTGGATGCACAAGTGTTATTCCTCGGGGGACAACCTCAGCTGAGACCTGTGCGTCAGACCAATGATTTCAGCAAATCTCCTACTTCAACAGCAGAAGTAACAGCTGCTACTGGTCCTGCCGCGGTCACCACCCCTTTGAGTATGATTCACTTCAAAGGGATCATCCAGGATGTGCAAATCAGCGATGGGCAAAAAATAATGGTTGTAGAATTCTTCCCTCTGCAAGCTGAAGAACTTTCCATCCCAACTGTTAGTTTTGGAACTGTCACTTTTGACAATGCTACAGTTTTAGAAGGTATTCTGTCTGATGATTCATGCCGGATCCAACCATGTCATCGTAATGGTAAATGCATCAACACCTGGAATGATTACCGTTGTCAATGCCCACATGGATTCAAAGGCAAGGACTGTATAGAGTTGGAATTCTGTGAGTTGGAAAGATGTCCGGATGATTCGACTTGTAGAAATCTAGAAAGTGGTTATGAATGCGCCGCGAATGCAACGTTTGATGGTGAAGCCAAACCATTAATGTACAACCTGACAACGCCAGATAACAAACATTATAGTGCTGACTCCATTGAGGTTACATATCGTACCAGATCCTGGGGTACTGTTCTTTTTGCCAAGTATCTGGAGAAATACTTTACCATTTTTATCTATCACGATGAAGTGGTTGCCGAATGGAATCTGGGAACGCAATTTGAGACTCGCAGATTCCGAAAGGAGCATTTTGATGGTCAATGGGTGACACTCCTCTTCAAATACAAGGATTCCATGCTCAAAGGAGGTTTCAAGGAGCATGTTTTAGATGACACGCCGGATTTCACCACGAATGATTTCGATTTTGGTAACTTTAACGAAATATTCACTCGTGGTGTCATCTACATTGCAGGTTCTGATAACAAAACCTTTGATTACCGTGAGGTAATCAAGAGTACGGATTACAATGGTACCAGCTATGTTACCCTGGCGGATACAACCACCCAGGACCCAGTGATTGTGAGCAATTCAGTGGATTTCATGGACAATACATTCCCTTCTTACAAAATAGACCTCAGCAGGAATTCGGATCAATTTAAAGGATGTCTGAGTGACATACGTATTGGTAGATTACTAGTGCCTTACTATTCCACTGATGAATTGTTCAATCAAACAAGACCTGAGGAGTACTTCACTCAGTTTGAGAACGCAGAGAAAACAATCGGGTGTTTACTGTGTTACGAGAAGGATTGTTACAACAATGGCCGCTGCATTGAACCAAACAGCACTTATAAATGTCAATGTCCCGATGGTTATGCAGCTGATGATTGCAGCATTGATATTAATGAATGTGAAGACAATAAATGTGAGAACAACGCTACCTGTGTGGATCTCATTGGGAAATATGAGTGTGAATGTCAACTTGGCTACGATGGCACTTAGTAAGTTTATTTTAACCTTTAAACATTGAAAATTAATTAATTTTTATCAATTTTAGTTGTGAACATGATATTGATGAGTGTGCAAGTGGCCCATGTCATAATGGAGGAAGTTGTATTGATCTCTTGGGGATGTTCCGTTGTGAATGTCCTGAGGATTACGTTGGGAGACAATGTGAGGCTCTACGACTGATTACATGTGATAATCAACCTTGTAAAGATGGCTCCACGTGTCGAAATGGCAAAAGTAAGTCAATTCACTCCAAAATCACTTCTTAAACATCTAATATTTATATTATTACAGACGAAATGACACACAACAACTTCACGTGTCTCTGCGCTGAAGGTATGGTCGGTACCCTGTGTGATACGCCATATTGTTTGGTGAAATCCCATGGTTGTGAACACGATGGCCTGTGCAATACAACAAACCGAGTTCCTTTCTGTCAATGTCGTTTGGGTTATGAAGGAAGACACTGTGAGATTGACATTGATGAATGTGTGGATGATCCGTGCCAAAATGGCGGACAATGTATCGATGGCGTTGGGAGATACACTTGTAACTGTACAGGTACAGGGTATGAAGGTACAAATTGTGAGATTGATGAAGATGAGTGCACAGACATCCCCAATATCTGTGGGGATTTGGGGAAGTGTGTTAACATGCCGGGGAGTTACCGGTGTGATTGTATGAATCGACGCTGTGGGCACCAGTGCAAACTGGATGATCCATGTATTATCAATCCTTGTGAGCATGGAATATGTCACAGTAAATGTGCGTATGAAGCTGCTTATGATTGTGAATGTGAACTTGGATGGGCAGGGAAGAATTGCAGTGAGACACAGGTACGTTACCAGTATAAAAACGGTCCCCAAATGAACAATTTCATAAATTTTTTATTTGCAGATTGAGGCAGCGTCCACAGGCAATTTTGACATCTTATACGTGATTATTCCAGTCGTGGTCGTTGTCCTGTTGATAGTTGTGGTTGTTACCGTTGTTTTGGTAAACGTTGCACGCAGTAAACGTGCGACACGCGGTACCTACAGCCCCAGCGCTCAAGAATTCTGTAATCCTCGTGTGGAACTTGATCATGTGCTCAAGCCTCCGCCCGAAGAACGACTTATTTAAGTATTTTTCTATAAACATTCCAATTTGAACTGAATGTGATGCAAACACACGAGATTGTACATAAAATGGAGGGACTCAAATCATGTTTATGTTATGTTTAGACTAATTTAGACTATGCGATGACAATGATATTTATTTCTAACTTCTAAGAGTGAATAATGAGAGTAAATGTTATTTTTGATGTTCATGACAGGACCAAAGTTTGTAAATAGCGTTTTTAGTTTAAGTTACACGCAGACATTTTTATACAACTTTACATATTGTGGTGTGCCTTATGTACTTAAGAATTTCGTATGAATCTATAACCAGTTTTCTCAAAGTAACAGTATTTTGTAAGCAATGTTGATAATTGTACTTAATTTATATTAATAACGAAATAAGTATGAATATTTTTGTCTTGAATAGATTAATTGATTAAATGAAATGATACAGTAATGGTTTTTATGAAAATTTATAGTGAAATACATAATTTAAAAATCCGGGGACATTTATTTTGAAAAAAATGGTCCCCAATCATAGATGGCACCAAAAATTTACAGTTTATTCATCTGGTTGCTATGGTTCGTTGTTTATCCATAGAATAACCTCAGTTTATTTTATTTTATCATGATTTCTTGATCCAGCATCAAGTTTTAATCATATTTTTAACTTATTAACTATTTTAATGATTTTATCATGAATATATCAATTAGTGATACATTCGACAACATTTCATTTAGTGCCAGTGGTCAGTTAATCAACAAAGATAACAATGTGCTGTGTGAATTAACAACAAACAACATAAATTCAATAAATAAAGAAGACAGTCGAGTGAATGGTTCATCTTGTTTGAAGATTTCATTTGACGATAGTGCTTTTCTAAATGATTCATTTTCTTTTACTAAAAATGTCTCTCAACACTCACAAGTAAGTTAAAATTACTTAATTATCTGTACAAATGGTAAACAATTGCTTGAAATGTAATAAAAATTTTGTTTTTAGGAAATTGATAAAGAAAATATTCCAATAACTGTGAGTCCATTGCCCTCAACCACAAATTTATCTACAAAACCTGTAAACAAATCAATTTCATCAGTACAAAATGAACAATTCAAATTTTCTGAGTCAGAAGACAATAAACTATCAATTTTGGGTCTACCAGCTGAAATCCTACAAAAATACGAATGTCGCAATGTAACACGTATATTTCCATGGCAGTTGGAGTGCCTTTCCTGCAATGGCGTCCTGGAAGGCAAAAATTTAGTCTATTCTGCACCAACTTCCGCCGGAAAAACACTAGTCGCTGAAATCCTGGCCGCGAAAACGGTTCTCGAACGCAATAAAAAAGTCATATTTATTTTGCCGTTTGTCTCTGTCGTGCGGGAGAAAATGTTTTACTTTCAAGACATTTTGGATCCAGTGGTATACGTGTTGAAGGTTTCATGGGCAGTTACAATCCGCCGGGTGGATACAAAAACATAAACGTTGCCATTTGTACAATCGAAAAAGCAAACAGTTTAATCAATCGGTTACTTGACGAAGGTAAAATTGGAGATATAGGTGCTGTAATCGTGGATGAATTACATCTGATTGGTGATTCTGGTCGCGGATATCTTTTGGAACTGTTATTAACCAAGTTGAATTACATTTCACGCAAAGATGATCTCAAGATACAGATTGTGGGAATGTCTGCAACGTTACCAAACTTAGATTTATTAGGAAAATGGCTGGATGCGTCTTTATACATCACAACATTCCGTCCAATACCACTAAATGAACAGTGTTTAGTAAACGGGGACATTTTTAATTCAAAATTCGAACTAAAACGTAGATTAGATAATATTCCAGAGTTAGAAATGGATACCGACAATATTCTACAATTATGTTTAGAAACCCTGTTAGAATCATGCAGTGTTTTGGTGTTTTGCCCAACGAAAAACTGGTGTGAGAATTTAGCTGTGCAAATCGCCAGTGCTTTCTTCAAAATTGGCAAATCTGATTCCCGCCTTGGTGAAGAGTTGCGAAATAAATTACCTGTGGAACCTATCAGGGAATGCCTCGAACAACTTAAAAGATCTCCTGCTGGTTTGGATGATGTCTTACAGAAGACTGTAAGTTTTGGTGTTGCATTCCATCATGCTGGTCTTACCATGGATGAACGTGACATTATAGAAGGCGCTTTCCGAACTGGAGGTCTTCGTGTACTTGTCGCCACCTCCACACTATCATCAGGTGTGAATCTTCCTGCAAGACGTGTGATAATTCGCAGTCCTACCTTTTTCGGAAAGCCAATTGATGTTTTATCTTACAAACAAATGGTTGGTAGAGCTGGGAGAATGGGTAGGGACACCTCAGGTGAATCAATTCTAATCTGCCAGAAGAAGGATCTTGCAGTTGCAAAGGACCTGATGTCCGGAGAGTTGGAAGCAATCAGTAGTTGTTTGGAAGGTTCAGGAAGACTCAAAAGAGCTTTATTGGAAGTTATAGCATCACAAGTTGCTTCAACTCCTGATGAAATAGACACATTTGGAAAGTGTACCCTTCTGAATCATGAAGGTACAGCAATAGGTAATCCAATAACAGATGCTTTGGACTTTCTAATGAAGTATCAATTTATCAGACTACAAGTTGATCAGGAAGATACTTCTAACCAACAGTATGTAGCTACACCTCTTGCAAAAGCATGTTTGAATTCATCAATGCCACCTGAAGAAGGTCTTGCTTTGTTTGCTGAGTTAGAAAAAGCAAGACAATGCTTTGTTTTAGAAACAGAATTGCATTTGATCTATTTAGTGACTCCTTTCAGTGTCCAAATTCAATCAATTGATTGGATGCAGTTCTTGGAACTCTGGGAGAAACTCCCAGCTAGTATGAAACGTGTTGGTGAGCTTGTCGGAATCAAAGTATCATTCATCATCAATTGCTCCAGGGGTAAAGCCCCAAATAATTCCAATAAACTAGCTGTTCATCGACGTTTCTACACAGCATTAGCACTGCAGGATTTAGTCAATGAGGTACCTCTGAACCAGGTTGCTCAAAGATTTGGTTGTAATCGTGGAGCTTTGCAAAGTCTCCAACAGTCTGCAGCCACTTTTGCAGGTATGGTTACTTCATTCAGTAAACAACTAGGTTGGAGCAGTGTGGAGCTACTGATTGGACAGTTCCAAGACAGATTACAGTTTGGTGTTAGCAGGGAACTATTAGACCTGATGAGATTACCAATCCTCAATGGGCAGAGAGCAAGAGTATTGTTCAATGCAGGTGTAGAAAATCTTGTAGATCTCGCTGGTTGTAACGTTTTGGATCTAGAGAATATCCTACACAAAGCTAAACCATTTGAGAGTAAAGAACGTGAAGGTGAAAGTAAACACGACGCAGAAAAACGTAATAACTTAAGAACTATCTTCATCACTGGAAAACGTGGCCTGACAGAGTTGGAAGCTGCAGGGATGATGATTGAAGATGCAAGGAAGTACCTGCAATATGAGATTGGTTTGAGTGATGCTAATTGGTCACGGAATGAAGAAAATGTGACACAGTCTAGTCAGGAATTGAATAAAACAAAAGCAGATCTTAGTCCAATAATAGAATCACCAAATAAAACGAATACAGAAGAGAATAAAGCAGAGAATTCTTTGGAGAATGTAAATTCATCTTTGAAAGAAGTTAATTTCTGTGATTTAACTTCACTGCGATTAAGTTCTTCATCTGACAGTATGTTTAATGATTCATTTACTGCCCAAATGAAATTAGTGCAGAATCTTAGTGATGATAAAGTACAACCTGAGAATCCACCTGATAATAACTCAGATTCGTTGTTAACGAAAGCCTTCATGGACAGTTTTAACGAATCTTTAACTTTAAGAACTGATAAATCTTTTGTTGAAGATTTACAACCAAGAAAAAGACCAAGTGATGACATAAAATCCACTGATTCTTCTTCTAATTCTTCTGTTGTAAGTGAAGATGATATGTTTACATCTCCAATACCTCCAAAGCTCAGCAGACGTTCAAAGAGTGCTTCTGATCATGCAGAAGATGATCCACAACTGGAAATTATTAATGTATGTGATAATATTGTACTTTTTAAGCCTTTCATTGATTTATTAGCGACACATACTGCTATATCTTTATCTCTTGCTTGTGAAGACTACGAAGAAGAGAAACAAGAGATTGGGATAAGAAAATCTATCAAATTGAAGGATAATTTCACTTATAAATCGACTAAGATTCATGGATTGGCTGTGTATTGGCCTGAGACAACTAAAACTCCAATTAGTTATTATATAGAATTAGAAAAATTGATCAAAATGGAAGGCGGAGATGATGATAGTTTAAAACTATTAGAAACAGAATTAATGCAGAACAAAACTTTAAGGATGTTTAATGTGAAAGAACAACTTAAACGTTTGCATTACTGTCTTGGTTGGAAGATAGATTCAGTGAAAATTGAAGATCCACGGATAGCTGATTGGATATTAGATCCAGAATCACACGAGAAGACCTTTTCTACAATGGTTAGTTGTAGAATATACTAGTTTAACATAAATAATTAAATTTCTCAATGTTTTAGGTGAAATTTTACTCTCCATGTTATGAAGAACAACTGGACATCACCAGTTGCAAAGTACGTGCATCAATGGAGGCTTTAATCAATTGGTCATTGATTGAAAACGTAACTATACGTCTCACAATTGAAGATCCACAGTTTATCACTTGTTATAGTATGTATTATTCATACTTTTATGAATTTTTTGCTCATTTTTATTGTTTTAGGGAATGAAATGCAAATAATATTGATTCTGACCAAGATGGAATTGAATGGAATGCCTGTAAACCTAAAAACACTTCAAAGTTTTGTTGATTCATTAAAATGTCACCTACAGTCGTTGGAGAGTGAAGCTTTCAACTTAGCTGGACGTAGATTTTCTTTCACATCTTCAGCAGCTGTTAGTAAAGTATTAAACATGCGTGGAAGTAAAAACATTAAAAGCAAACGTAGAATATCAACCAACAAAGCTGCGTTGGTTCAATACGGACATCCTTTGGCAGAGTTGATCATCCAGTGGAGAAAGATCAATTCTACATTAACAAAAATGGTGTATCCACTTCTAAGAAACATTGAAGAATCCCGGATACGTGGAGTTTGCATCACGCAGAATTCCACTGGAAGGGTATCGATGCACGAACCGAATGTTCAAAATGTCCCACGAGATTTTCAATTTATTGATCCCATTACAAATAAAACTCATGAGATTTCCCTACGTAGTGCCTTTAGTTGTTTAGAATCTGGGAAGGCAATCATTGTATCCGCTGATTATTGTCAGTTGGAATTAAGAATACTAGCACACTTGTCAAAAGATTCAATTCTAAGTCAAATAATGTGTTCGGACTGTGATATATTTAAAGCCATAGCTGCCAAATGGATGAAAATCTCCGAGGAAGAAGTTGATGATACTCTAAGACAACAAACAAAACAGATTTGTTACGGGATTATCTATGGAATTGGTAATAAGACTCTTGCGGATCAAATGAGTATCACCGAGAATGAAGCATTGGAGTTTACAGAGACATTCCATCAGAATTATCCAGGAATTCGGAGGTTTATTAAAGTTACCATTGATAAATGTGTGGAGCAAGGATATGTTGAGACTTTGCTGGGACGCAGAAGATATTTATCTATGATTAATTCTACAAATCAATCAGAAAGAAGTTTGTTTATGTTTTTACTTTTGTTTTGATTGTTTTCTTATTGTTTGTTATTTTTGAAGGTAAAGCAGAACGTCAAGCTGTTAATACGACAGTCCAGGGATCAGCTGCTGATATTGCCAAACAAGCAATGATTCTAGTCGACAGGAAAGTCTCCGAAAAGTTTCGTAACTCGCGAAATGCCCCCAAGTTGATTCTACAGTTGCATGATGAGTTGTTGTATGAAGTTCCTTTGAAATACGAAGATGTCTTTGCTCGTATATTGAAGAAATGCATGCAGGAGTCTGTCAAGTTGGATGTACCATTACCTGTTAAAGTTAAAAGTGGGAAATCATGGGGTACACTTGTTTTAAAACAATAAAAACACGTTTTTGTTGAAATTGTTTGTTTTATTTCTATTGAAACCTTAAATTCTACATTTTACTTGTGAGGTTAGTTATGAAAGTGATTTCCATGATGGTAGCCACCATCTGATGAGGAACTGTGATAGTTTCCGCTGTAATATCCACCTTCGTTGCTTCCACTGTGTGAGGTGGTCCCGTAATGACCAGATCCACCTGATACAAAACCTCCACTACCACCAAAACCTCCTGATGTAGTGAAGGAACCGCTTGAACCACCTAGGGAACCACCAAAGTCACCTCCAGATGATTCAAAACTGCTGGAACCACCTTCAAAGTTACCAGAGTCAAAATTTCCTTCAAATCCACTGGATTCAAAACCACTGCTTCCTCCAATTGATCCTCCAGATATACCAAAACCACCACTGCTTCCTCCAAGTGTTCCTGACCCTCCTGATATTCCAAAACTACCACTATTTCCTCCAAATGAAGTACCAGATGTTCCAAAACTAGTACCTGAACCTGAAGCACCACCAGAACTTCCAGTTACATAAATGCTACCAGCTCCACCATTACCAGTATGATGGATATCAATGTGATCAACATGTGGGCCTGACCCGCCTGTGGATACAGGAACAGGGACTTTTACATAGACCGGAACTTTAACTGGCACAGGAACAGGTTTCTCCACACGTACAGGGTAGGGTTTCTCAACTGGTACTTCAACTCTGACCGGATGTGGCACTTTGACGTACACTGGCACCTGCACGGGCACTTTCTTCGTTACAGTAACCGGATACGGTTTGGGGACGTGCACTGGTACTTTAACTTCCACACGAACCGGAACATTTTTAACTACTTGCACTGGATAAGGTTGAGGAACAGGCACACGGACTTCTTTGGTGACAGTAACCGGATATGGTTGTGGAATACGCACAGGAACCTGCTTGGTAACAGTATTCTCAGAGTAGGTGTGAGTGTGGGTGTGACGGTTGCCGCCATAGTTGCCATAATTGCCATAATTGAATCCGTTTCCATTTCCGTAAAGGTTAGAGTTGGATCCGATGAAAGCTGTGTTTCCAGTACCAAAACCAGAACCACCACCATTGCTTAATCCATTTAATCCACCGGAAGTGAATGACGAGTCTCCATAACCTCCATATCCATATCCACCTGAACCATAACCTCCTAAACCAGCAGAAATTGATCCTCCAAAACTTGCACCACCTCCAAGACTTCCGGAAATGCCGGAACTTCCATAGTTGGTGCCGTGGCCACCGCTGCCAATGTCCAAGTGATAATAATGGTCACCCGGGCCTCGATAATGGTTAAAACCTTTACCACCGATAGACACGTAGCGTTTATCTTTCTTTGTGGGTTTGGTATCTTCACCACAAACCAGAGCAACCACTAACAATACCTAAATTAAGTAAAAAATGTTATTAGTTTAATAAAATTGAATAAAAACAAAACAAACTTACTATGAACATGCGCATCTTGACACAAATGTTGTTGGAATGCATCTCCAAGTCGATGTCATCGCTTTTTATACTCGGATCAAACGGATGTTCCCACTAACTTTTGTTAAAAAAGAAAATAGAAGCTAAATATCATTTGTGGTTTAATTTATGTTAATATTGGGATGCAGGCCAATGATTCACATTGCCAACGCGATAGGTGACAACCGCAGGTGGTCTTATGAAATTCATCCGAAAGAACTGAACTTTCTTTTGCATAACATAACATTTCACGAATTATATCAGAGAGAATCTAAATTTTGTTTTTTCTTGTTTTTGGTTGTAATTGTGGGTTTTTTCAAGCAATTTCGTCGAGTAGTAATCATTAATTTTAGTTGGCACACAAATTTCAGACATTATCGCCGATCGCAGCCTTCAGTGAGTGCAGAATGCATAAGAAATGTCTATTGTGGCGGTTTTTACCTGTTGATATTTATGAATGAACGCGTAGAATAAATAAAAAGCGACATGCGAATTCTTTGACCATGCGATTTCTGCATATATTAATTATGAAATATATAAGTTGCAGTTTTGCAGTTTGAAAACGGACGCAGGTGAATTTTATTTTGTTTGTGTTTGTGAAAGTTGTGTTAACATTTATGAAAATGTCAAAGGTACATGCTGGACGTCTACTTTATTTAGTCAAATGTAAATTATGTTATTTATACTTGTTTTATCTTAAATTTTGAATATGTGGTAATCTAGAATTGGAAATTTCAAGTGTCAATTACTCGTAAACTAACAATGATAAAGAAAAATTTTACTAAGATAAAATATGTGAATCTTAATTATCTTTTATTATCTGTAATAATATTTTTAAAAATTTAATTTTTAGTTTTAAATTTTTAAAAATCAAAATTTTGGCGGAGGTGCCTGACATTTTAATGACTGGTTGAAATAATTAATGAATTTAACATTGATTATACCATTTTGTAAAGAGGCTTTCCCTTGTTTATATAATTTCATACTTGATAGTATTTACGGTTTACTCTGTAGATTGTTTTAAATACAATGTGTCTTTAAAATAAAACTTAATTATCAATTATCTCTGAAACTAATAAAGATAAACAAAAATATTAAACGATATTGTGTACAGTTTAAAATTCTTCATGGAATACGTTTTTAAAATTTACAATTTTAAAGAATGAAAAACTGATTTTCCGACGCGATTTTCTTGCAAAGTAATAAAGTTAGAAAAGAATTTTCTTCATTTTGTTCATGCGGTGATAAGGATCTATAAAATGGCAGATTTAGTTTTTCCATTTTCCAAAGTTGACCATCAACCACTCGAAAAAGATCAAGAGGTTACACTTGACTCTTTGAGGCCTCAAAAAATATTTTTTACGCTACAAGAAAATGGAAAACGCTAATCGATTGAGTTTTCCAAGGGGATGAAAGATATCAAGTCAGTTTTTCTATAACATCAATATTTCGGAAAATTAGTGGTAAATTCAAAACTGATCAAATAAAACTACCTCTTCGATTTTCCCCAAACTTTCCAAAGTGATGAAAAACAATGCCAGGAATCTATTAATCCTGGTTTGGTTGCATTATCTTAATTAGTTTTCAAGTTATTAAACATGTTTAATTATTACATAATTGTTGATAACTGTAAATTTTAATGAGTTATATAATGCAAAATTTAATTCTACATACTATTATGAAAACCGTTTTCCTTTATCTCTAATGGTTTTCAAGATAAGTGGGAAATACTGGTTTATTCGTTTTCTCAAACATTTCCTAAGCAAAAAATAAATATTGGAAATTTGACTTTTTTATTACAGAATATTGAAGAACATGTAATTCTACATACTTCTTAATAAAATTTTGTTCTAAAAGTAAGGGTTTTGATAATAATCATCTTAACTAAGTCATGTTTTGTCGCTATTAAAATTACATTCATTTTTTATTAAAATTGCAAATAGGGCCTAAACGGTATATGCTAGCCAAAAAAGTTACGAAAATAATCGATGTAGAATTAAATTAACTATCTGAATCCGAAAACAGAATTTGAAAATTCCAACTTTTAATTTTGAACATAAAAAAGTGAAATCTTTTGCCTTTTTTATAACAAAATCTTTTCGTTAAATTTGTTTATGCATTTTTGGTGGTTTTTTAAAAATAAGGTGCCATCTTGTAGAGAATTTTTTAAGGATTAAGAATATGAAGTTCTTTTTTCGTAGCTTTTTTAGTTTTCGAGATAATCGCAATTTAATCTCGGCGGTTTCACGGAAAAATTTTTAAGAAAAAAGTCCGACCCTGTTGTTCGACCAAAAAATTTTTAAGAAAATAAGTTCGATCCTGTTCTTCGACCGAAAAAAATTTTAACAAAAAAGTTCGACCCTGTCGTTCAGCCAAAAATATTTTAAGAAAGTAAGTTCTACCCTGTTCTTCGACCAAAAAAAAATTAACAAAAAAGTTCGACTCTGTTCTTCGGCCAAAAAATGAAATTCTTTGGACAAAAATAGTTATATTTTAAGTGCATTTTAGGGAACTTCTGGAAGGGTTAGGGCGTTGGAAAAGTATGCATCGTGTAGAGGAACTCTCGAACTTCAACATGGCTGTGAGAAACTCCAAAAAAGTCAATTAGTTCACGAGATTTATTATTTATTGAATTTACGAGTAAATAATACTTTTAAGGCCTTCCGAGATGTCGCTAGAATGTCCGTTTCAACTAAAAATATTCCCGCGGGTTTACCGCATCGTTCTTATCTTGTTTTGTAAACATTGGCTATCGCAGCAGCGGATTGTATCAATTTACGTACACTTTATCCCATTTCACGCTTGAATTATCATGCAAATCTATTTAAAACAATAAAAGTAAAGAATATGTGACTGAATCTACTACTTTATCATAAATTAACTTATTTCATATGATTTGCGCTCTGTTACTATCCTTATAGCAGTTATTATCAATTTATCTTTATTTTATTTTCATATGGTGATAAGAAAATCCAAAAAAGGCAATTAATTCACGAGATACAGGGTGTTTTTCATACCATGTCTTCAAATTTCTTTTAAAAATGCCAAATAACATGGCGGTACTGTTGAAATTCCAAATTCATTTTTTAAACAACAATAAGACACTAAGAAACACCAGTGTTTCCTATACCAAGTGCAAAACAAATAAATCAAAGTTTCTTACCAGAAATAATAAATCCAATTATTTATTCTTAAAACATGTATATTTAATCTAAACTTTTATAATACTTTTATATCAATTTCATCAACAACATCATTGTCATAAAAATGTTACGCGTTTGTCAATGCCACAAGTGCCATGGACACATGGTACTCAACACGATTATGCTAATCCTCCAAGTGTTCAACGTTATAAATTAAAGAGCTGACTTGTCTCTGAATTTACCTCATAATAACAAAAACTAGTTATCCAACGGAGTGCACGAATGATTTAGCTTCAATCTACGATCTAGAAACTGAATTCCCAATACATTCGTTTATATCACACACCGCCATTTGTGCAAAAGAAGAAAATCGTACCAAAATTGCATATACAGCGTGCGTTTATACCTGTTTAGTCATAACATCTACTATAGGCAATCAACAATACAAAAATATTGCATATACGGTTGCCTACAGTGACGACACAACTAAAAACCACAACCAGCATGTTGGGTTGCATACGTTACACGCTGTATAACAATACAATATGTATGAATAAACAACGCTAGGCTCATAAGTTAAGTTTACTTACATTTTGTGTCAGTCTATTATGATATCTGTCTCATAATTTTATTATCAATAATGTATAACCTATAAATGTGTATAGGTCAATTCATATATTAGTAGTATTTTCTTCTTCATAAATTGTTTCATTTTACTTACAAGTTACGCATCAGCTATTATAGTTAATGTCTATGAATTAGAGAGAAGAATTTTGGGGTTTCATTACGAGAATAAAAAGCGTTCTATTTCGGATTGTGTGGTGTTCGATATCGTTCTTGTTCGGGATTCGTGGAAATGCGCGCAAACTTAATATAAATTTGTTATGGAAACTGTTTCGACGTCGAGGGGATCTCCTCTTTGAAACCGTTATTCGAAGCACTTTCCTCGGATAAAGCTAATGGCACCTAAAACGTCAAAAATAATTTTTACAAAATTTTTGTTTTAAATTAAAAATAATACCTGATTCTGTATTTGAGTAACACCGACAACTCTTTGTTCATCCTCCTGTAGAGTCGGAAGTAAATCATCGGTGGAATGCGGACTAGGCGTGGGTGGTACACGTGTGCCGCCATTGTTGTTCGTCCCCGCCGTCAATTTCGCCAACCGGCGCTGCATTTCACGTTCTTCTTTCTGCTCACGTTCCTTTTCGTATCGACGCATGCTATAGCTACGTATTGAGTTGCTGCTGTGCACGGAAGCAATGCTCGGACGGCGTGAACCTAAACCGGAACAAAAAAACATAATCACCCACATAGTACCATTAATATCAACAAAAATAACCTCTAAATCTACACGTATACATTGGTACAACATCGAAACATCCAAAGTTGGTTATTTTGAGAAAATGTTTGTTAATTTTGATTCACATGCTCATTTTGTCGTTTCCGGTTTGTGTTTTATGTGTTATTCCATGCAACAACAAACATTTACCTACATACCAAGAGGTTTACTTGTTTTAATCTGTAGAGTGATGTTTTTAATTCGATTATTTAATTAATTTTCAATTAAATACTGCTAATTTAATGATTTACGAGTGCAGCAATGTAAAAATACTCTAAAAAGGGTTGAATATATATTTACATGATTAATTAGTACGTAATAAGTAAATAAATGAAACAAACCGCAGCCATCTTGCGCCCTTGCCAATTGGGTAATGTGTTTTTCAAGTTTCACGAATGTTTAGACTTAGACAACCAACAATACACAATACAAAGCAAACACACGACATCAAAGTGTTTGTAGAGAGAAAAAAAGGGAGAAAAAGAGATGTAGGTGTGTTGTTTGACAAAGTTGACAGCTAGCACACACAGTCGGTTAGCGTGGCCCGAACCTAGGGGTACCTCCGGGATGGCGGTGATCTCATGGCAAGAGAGTAGCAAGATGGCGGCGGCACGTGCCGCACCTGCCCGTGACGCCGAAACGGCAACGCCGCGACATCCCGGCGCGCTGCTCGGCCGCCGCGAAGACGCCAGTGTCCGCTGGCTGGACGCCCGCGACACCAGCCGGCGGTCGATGATAGGCACAGATCCTGCAACATCCCTCACCGCTAAAAAACTTCCATATATTGGTTGGGACGAGGTTGTGTCTAAAATTAAGGTCATCAAACGGCATTACAAGTTTATCCATCATGTCCATCATCCAGAGGGCGTGCGAAGGCGAATGTGTCACAATCGGTACGTACGTGATTAAGGGGTGAATTTTATTACGTTATTTAGAAACATTTAAGGGTGCGCTGTGGTGGAGAGTATATATCAATTGTACCCGGGCGTGTTTTATTGCGTGACAAGAAGCTTTAAGCACAACTAACGCATTCAGAAAGCAAAACATTTAGATGCAGAATTTATTCTGAGGAGTTGAAGATTTCAGGGGTTGAAATGAACAAAAAGTTAGGTTATGAAGTTATGCAAAACATAATATAGCTCAAAATTATTTTATGGAATATTTTACCTCCGTCACTGTTGAATAAAATCGGCGGTGCCAATGCGGCGTTGCCATATCGATGTCTTCCAGCGTACAAATTCTGATTAAACAACTTTAACACGAAACAGATAAGTCCTGATAATACTGCTATACCGGAAACAACGCCTGCTAGTGTCGAAAAGTCCGTTGTCATGACCACCAAGTCTGTAATCACAGAAAAAGACTTAGAATTTTAAAATCTAACCTAAAAATTTGTTACCTTCGGCACAAAACATTTTTTTCGACGGTTTTGTGACAGACACCGAATGGTAACCGGAACTGCAAGCACAGATTGCATTGTGATGGACCTGTACGCAGGATGCGTGAGGGTCGTAGTATTCGCAAGCTGCTTTGTACCAACATTGTTCACCCAAACGTTTTGCTACAAAAAACAAAACAAAAAAAGTAATTTTTAACGAATGATTTATTACGAACGCTGTCGACATTCAATCAAACAATAAGCACGTGAGGAAACACCGGAAAAGTTAACTACTTTCCTGAGACGTAGAAAATTGTTTGATTTATGATGTTTTTTGGCGAAAAATTGAATTTTTTTTTCTTTTTTTTTTGGGAGACATGTAATATGTATGAAGAAATAGAAAGGATTTTCGTTGTGCTTACGTTTCGTGCAGCCGGTGGCGGCCGTGAGCTTAACTGGATACTTTTTCTGACACTCGCACGTCTTGGTCGCTGGATTGCAGAAGGCATTCTGCAGCAATGCGCTGCAGATTTTATCGCATGCGTCTCCCAAATACTGTTCGTCTGTGAAACAAAAAAAAACCAAAAACACAGAAATTAATTCTCATTCATTCATTCATTCAAATGCTGTGTGGTTGCGTGACTAGTGAATCTAAATTTAACTTTAGCTTTCTATTTACCCTGTATATGGGTACAGTGTACAGTAACTCAGAAAGTAATATGGAAGTGGAACGAGCGCGCTCTAATTAGGCCACCAGTAAAGCAATGCGTTTATTATATTGCAGGGTAAAAGCCGAGCGCTGCTGGGAGCAAATTACAACACATAACTCAAAGTTATGAATATTTCGACACGCAAGACTATAGTCTTTTGATTTTTCGTACAACGCCCGAGGAATAGTTAAGGGAAACTTATCTCATAATCAATATAAGCTGCCTACCTCGTGTAATTAGTCAAGTTTATTAAGAATTTATGCATTTCGATCAGGTCTCTTCAATCAAACACGTTTTCGATGTGCGTTTGTTCCAAACTTTACAAACTATCCTCGAAATATTCGATTATACCCACTTTGGATAATTCAAGTGGAAAACTTTGATAGATATCTTTTAATTTGATATCCATTTGATAAATCATCAAAAAAATCATCAAAATAAAAGTTTTTTCTTCGTGATTTTTATTTTAAGCTGCTTTCTGCGAGTTTTTACGCGTTTTTAACGTGTAATTGCGTAATTTAATACCAGCTGCACGCACGACTGGTTGCCTACATTATTAGCGCTCTCATTGATTAAACAAAATTGACCAAGCAAATTTTGTTGCAAACTTTACAAACTATCCTCGAAATATCCAATAATACCCACTTTGGATAAATCAAGTGGAAAACTTTGATAGATATCTTTTTAATTTGATATCCATTTGATAAATCATCAAAAAAACATCTGAATAAAAGTTTATTCAACGTGATTTTTATTTTAAGCTGCTTTTTGCAAGTTTTTGCGCGTTTTTAACGTGTAATTGCGTAATTTAATTCTAGCTGCACGTACGACTGGTTGCCTACATTAGTAGCGCTCTCATTGATTGAACAAAATTGACCAAGCAAATTTTGTTGCAAACTTTACAAACTATCCTCGAAATATTCGATAATACCCACTTGGTCTAATTCAAATAGAAAACTTTGATAGATATCTTTTTAATTTGATATCCATTTGATAAATCATCAAAAAAACATCAAAATAAAAGTTTTATCTACGTGATTTTTATTTTAAGCTGTTTTTTGCGGGTTTTTGCGCGTTTTTAACGTGTAATTGCGTAATTTAATTCCAGCTGCATGTACGACTGGTTGCCTACATTAGTAGCGCTCTCATTGATTAAACAAAGTTGACCAAGCAAACGCAAAAATTTAGCGTGTGACCGTATTTCAGATGCATGTTCGGCGTAAATTGCAACCGGCCCCACGATCAATATGACAGGCTTTAGAGGCTTTACACGCTTTTATACAATAGCTACGAGTACGTGAATGCATTGTTGTGCCCACACGAAAACGAAACCTATTATCGCGTTTACGCTGGCGAAAGCAACCGGAAGTGTTTCGCGAAGTCACATGATACTCGTACTTCAAACACATCAAAAATACTTCCTTACAAATTACATGTGAAATGTTAATAATATTTCCAACTGTAACTTTGACTTTGTAGGTCATTTGGAAACGTGTCAAAAGTGATGTGGGTAAAATAAATATTTCAGCTTACCGGTGGAATTATCCGATTCGTAATCGTCGTCGAGGGGCCGCGGCTGTGTGCGTGTATTCTCGTGGTCCTTATCATCATCACTGGCGTGATACTGACGCGGTGGGACGAGTCTCTGTGCGATCAGCGTCGAAATATTGGCGTAGACAATGGCGAGCAGGAGCAACGCGAAGGACCTCATCTCCTCGTGCGCGAGCCGAAGCAATCAAAATGCGGTCCGTCATCAGTAACTTGCATTTTATCCTAACTTAAATCAATCCTGAAAGAAACCACACAACTACATTGTTTTCCGGTTTGGAATCTCGAGTGGTATCGAGCGCTTCAGCAGCAGGTTTCGTATTTCACACAGCGGTCCCGGATCGATATTGCGAATTTCACAACCAAAACTTGATGTTTACCTGCATACACTTCTTGTGACAGATGTGGATTAATCCAGTGATGGCATCTTCGCACACACTTTCATAGATAAACACACACACGGGTATAATGCAAACCGGAAAACCGGAAAACCGGAAAGGTTTTGTTTTGTCGCGTGGTTTTCAGCGAGTTGCGGGCGTGCACCACCGTCGCCGGCAGCGTCGGGACGTCTGGCATCGTATGAACATTAACCGCGGCGCGGCGGTCATGGCGCATGCGCAATACAGACATTCCAGAATAAACGTGGGGGAGAGTAGGGAGACAGGAAGAAAACACACCACGCAATTGTATCCTTCAATGCTATATTTATATTCATATCAAATTATCTAAGATTTATAGGTTAGGTTTTAATAAATTTAACAAATAATTAATTTAATATAGTGATTAACTTCGTGAGACAACTACTTCTCCACCTCCCCAGACTGGGATGTGACGTTGACCGTCTTCCTTGATGTGCGAGACGACCGGAATTCCAGCTGCGTCTAAACATTGAAATTTTAATGATTTGAGTTGAAGTCGTTGAGTAAACTCACTTTTCTCAACATCTGGCGCTGTGTGTGGATTCGCCCAGTTCTTCCGCAGCGTGTAGCCGACATAACCGGTAATACCAGCGATGGAGATGACGCCTGCGACGATTCCGACGGTCATCCACATGGAACTCCTGCGGAAGGAACGAGCGCAATTAGTCGCATGCGATGACAATTAGAGATTGCGTTGCGCAATTGTCGTTTTTGCTGTTTTTGCGCGCGCAGGAAATGCGGATGAGTATGCGGAAAAGTGGAAAGTTGTGGAAGTAGAATGCGTATATATTGCGGCGATAATGCACGTCGCGTTTAGTTTCGAAATCAACTTGCAATGCATTTTATACTTGTGAGTAGAATAAAAAAACTAAAAATTTATTAAAATTAATCACATAACCTCAAAGATTTTAGCGTTTTTTATCCCTACGGTATTTTCTGGTAATCATCATCATCAACATCATGAATCAATCGATTTGGGGCATCATGTAGACGTGGAAAAGACAGTTACCATTGTTAAAGGTGTACCACACCCGGTTCCGGTCATTAAAAATGTCCCCGTGCCTGTTTTCAAAAACATCGGTGTCCCTGTTAAGGTCCCCGTACCTAAACCCTATCCAGTTGTAAAAAATGTCCCTGTTCCGATCCGGGTCCCTGTCAAAGTGAAGGTACCCGTCCCTTTACCTGTCCCCAAAGTAAGAAATGTCCATGTCCCTGTTAAAGTCTTCGTTGATAAACCTATCCCTGTAAAGGTCCTCGTAAAAAAACCTATCCGAATAGAAAAAAAGGTCCCGGTCCCCGTTCCTGTAAAAGTCCCCGCTCCTTTCCCTGTTGTTAAACATGTACATGTCCCTGTGAAGGTCCCTGTAAAGGTACCTAAACCCTATCCTGTGGTTAAACACGTCCCTGTTCCTGTGAATGTCTACGTTGATAAACCTGTCCCCAAATTTGTAGATAAACCTATTCCTGTGAAAGTGGTCAAAAATGTGGGTGTACCTTATGATAAATATGTACCGTATCCAGTGAAGGTACCCGTCCCACGACCTGTTCCAGTAAAAGTAGAGAAACCTGTTCCTTATCCTGTAAAAATCCCTGAACCTAAACCTTATCCGGTTTATAAGGAGGTACATGTACCTGTGGAGAAAGAGGTGCACTATCCTGTAAAGGTACCTGTGGAAAGACCAGTGCCCTATGAAGTGGTCAAACATGTCCCTGTAGAGGTTGAGAAACACGTCCCTTATCCAGTTGAAGATCATAATAATAATGAAAATGAAGACCATGGAGATGAATATCATGATACTGCTGTAGAGGTCCAACAACAGGAAGTGCAGGAATACAACCTACATGGTGGTGATGATTGGAAGTCATAGTGATTGTTATTGTTATTATTAAATAAATATTGTTGATTGTTTTACGAGTACTTACATTGCAGCAGCAATCTCGCTGGTTTCATTCTCACAGGTCTCACCCATGAATCCCACATTACAGATACACTCCCCATCCTGACATTCCCCATTCCCACAACCCTGTGGGCATGGTTTAGCAGCCATACACTTATTGGTTTCTTCATTAAAGACCATACCATTTGGACATTGAGGTTCACAGAAGAAACCTTTGGTAACTGGATCAGTTTTACAGATACTTCCGGTTTTACAGGAAGCTTCACATGCGGCTTTACTTGGAAGAATGGGTACTGGAGCATCTGCACATGGTTTACCATCACAATCATTGCATTTATTGGGATCACCTGCATCTGGTTTGAATCCCGGATCACAGGTACACATGTTAGGACCTGTGCACTTCCCATTAACACAGGGTTTCGAACAACTGGCAGTACACATATTCTTACTGGTTTTCTTGAACCCAGGGGAACACCCGCAAATATTGGGACCAATGCAGTTCCCATTGATGCAAGGTTCTGAACAGACTGGTTTACACAGGTATTTGTTGGTGTCATCCAGAGCGTAACCAGCACGACAGGTACATGTTTCCGGTGCGGTGCATTGACCATTAATACAGAGACTTGAACAGATGGCGTTACACTTCATTTTATTGAAGAGGTCCTTGGTATATCCTGAGTTACAAGTGCAGGTATCCTTCGCAGAGCAAACCCCATTTATACAGGGTTTGGAACAGCTTACAATGCAAGCAAATTTATCAACTGGGTCAGGATCCAACCCTGAATTACAAGAGCAAGTATCCGGGGCTGTGCATTTTGAATTAATACAGGGTTTGGTACAGATGGGATCACATTGGTATTTGCTAGCTGCAGATTGGAAGTATCCTTTGTGACAGGTGCAGGTTTCCGGGGCTGTGCAGTTCCCATGCATGCATGGTTCACTACAAACTGCTGAGCATAAATATTTATCTTCCAGGTCATGAGTGTAACCCTCTTTGCATTTGCACAGGTCACCATCAATACATTCTCCATTAATACAGGGTTTGGAACATTTCTGTCCACAGGTGTACTTATCACTTGGGTCCATCACTAAACCTTCATTACATTTGCAGGTATCCGGAGCCACACACTCACCATTAATACAAGGTGAGGTACAAACAGGGACACAGGTAAATTTATCCTTCTTAGAAAGAACATAACCTTCATTACATTGACAGATATCTATACCATTACAGATCCCGTTTATGCATTCCTGGGTACATTTTTCTATACGTACACATTTACTCTTACTACCTGCTTCCAACTCAAACCCTATGTTGCAGGTACATGTATCCGGACCTGTGCATTGTCCATCGATACATTCCTCCCCGCAAACAGGGTCACATTGAAATTTATCTTCAGAATTCAATTCGTAACCATTATGACAGGTACATACATCAACTTTGGTACAATCCCCATTGATACAGGGTTGTAGACAAGTAGCATTGCATAAATAAGGGTTGTTAGGATCAAGTTCATAACCTTTGTTGCATGTGCAGGTCTCAGGTTCTGAGCAATGACCATTAACACATTCTTTGGAGCAAACAGCATCACATTGAAACTTATTCTTTGGGTTAAGGGTGTATCCCTTGAAGCAATTGCAGGTATCCAACTTGGAGCAACCCCCATTCACACAGGGTTTCGAACAGGTAGGGATACAGACATATTTGTTATCCTCGTCCAAGATATAACCTTTGTTACAAGTGCAGGTATCCGGGGCTGAGCATTGTCCATTGATACAAGTCTTGGAGCATTTGGCATGGCATTCATTAGGGTTGTTAGGGTTTGTGGAGTACCCTGGAGAACAGGAACATTTGTTGGGACCTGTACACTCACCATTAACACAATCTTCTTTGCAAAAGGGTTTACATGATCCCAAATCATCAGAAATATAACCTTCATTACAGGTACATACTTCAGGAGCTGTGCAGAGACCATTTTGACAGTTGGCACATACAGGGGAACAAGTAATTTTATCATCTTGGAGAACATAACCTTTCTCACATTTTCTTATGCACAGAAATAGGTTATCTTCATCTTGTTCAAAACCTTCATTACAGGTGCATTCATTAGGTCCCGTACAGAGTCCATTTTGGCACGTGGTCAGGCAAATAGGTAGACAATTGAAATCATCAGATGGATCAACTTGGTAACCCTCCTTGCAGGTACAGGTTTCTACTCCGGAGCACTCCCCATTCACACATGGTTTAGAACAACTTGCCATTAGGATACACAGGAATGGATCACCTTGATCCTTAGTAAATCCATCATTGCAGGTACATTCATCAACATTGGTACACTTCCCATTCACACACTCTTTGGTACAAGCAGGTTGACAGTTATGACTCTCACCTTCATTGGAAGCATACCCTTTGTTACAAACACACTTCCCCTCAATACATTCTCCATTAAAACAATCAGGGTCACATTTGACCACTTCCTCAACGCAGGTATTATTATCCCCTTTGACGAAACCCACATTACAGGTACATTCATTCAACCCTGTACACACAGCATTTGTACAATCAACATCTTTACACATTGGATTACATTGATTCCTATTCCTAGAATCCCTGGTAAACCCTTTCCAACAGGAGCAGGTTTCAGGTAGGGAGCAATCCGCGTTGACACAAGGTTTACTACAAATCGCCGCACAGAAGTTACTATCCTCCACACGATTATAACCTCTATCACAGGTACAAGCCCCTGATTTATCTCCTCTTTTAGTGGTACACATCTTGGTACACTTATTCTCATTGTTAGGGTTCGGGGAGAAGCCATTATTACAACGGCAGACTTCCGGGGAGACACAGAACCCATTGGAGCAACCTTGGGAGCACACCGCATTACACATGTATTTATTTCGTGAATCCTGCGAGTACCCAGGTTTGCAGGTACAGGTATCCGGAGCTGTGCAGGTACCCTGTATACACATTCTGGTACAAACAGGGGTACAGATGTTTCTAGTGCCATCTGGTTTATATCCCTTACAGCAAACATTCAAGGTACGTACTGATGTGGTACCATTAATGGTAACCCTATATATTTACACAAAAACATCAAAAAATGAAATATTTTGAGGTTATGACTTACTCTTGTTGTTTAGTGCAGACTCCAACACCACTAAAGAACAACCCGTAGGTACCCACGACATAATTCGCAATGATAATCAAGAAATTAATTCGGTAATTCATTTTTACTGCACCACACCACACGTTGCCACAAACTACGATGGTATTCACGGGGACCAGAGCTTAAATAGGCGGGCAACCGCCATGATGTGATTAATTTTTCACCGGGGTGTTCATCCATTGCTCATGATACATGATGCCGGTAAACTTTTCATTGGCTAGATGGAATCCATTCAAATATTGATGTTCACGATGTTCAAACGTGATTATTATATTAGCAAGTGCCGCGGCTTTATCGACAAACGTTTAATAATGCACTCCTTATCGTCACAACGTGCCACTTCCAATCAACTACAACGAAAAAAGAAAAATTTGCATCATTTGCAAAAACATTTAATTATCATCACAACCAATAATTACCTCACAAGTAGAACTTCATAAGGAGTATAATCATAACCTTAAATTACACATGTCACAAAATGGCTCCCAAATACGTAATCTTTCATTATTCATCCTCCGAAAATATGTTAACTGGAAATTTAGTACACAGGTCATGAACACGCATGAAACATTCATAAATTTTCTTGTTACAATCATCCCACCTCATTCTGGTAGCTTCGTTTTCCACGTAGGTGTAAAGTGTACTCACTACTCAGTAATAATTTGTTTTTATCACACTTTGCGGGTGCTAGTTAATCCAACGCCACTTAATATTCCGACACTATTCGTGCAAGTGTGATGAATATTCAAAGAGATATAAAATAAATTCAGGTCACAATTATTTATTAATTTATCAACAAATATCGGCTACAAATGAATGATTAAAATTGAGTTTTGTTCTCGATGCGTGTATTAATATACAGTGCATTGTTATCAGTCGATCTGGTCCAGCGTGGGATCTCATCATATAAATTCTCATCATTTTCCGGTGGATTATTGGTGATTACAGGCGCTGGGGGTGGTTCGGGGCGGTTGTGGCCTTGTAAGTACCGCGCGTCGACGGTAACTGATCATAGCACGCATCCAAAACTGTAATTATTGCAATTTGCAATTAAAACTTATAACGATGTAATGTATATTTTCCAATTTATCATTATACCTTCGGATTCGTTTGATTCGTCAATATAAGCCAAGGTTGGCGTGGTTTGTACCGAAGAAAATGATAATCTTGTATTGATAACAACGTTATTATCACCAATACGTTGATGATACAGCGCACAAGGCGCAGAATCAAAGAAAGGACTTTGTGGCGGTTCTGAAACCAATTCGGTTAAGTTATACTACTTGTGCTGCGTGTATGTATGGTTGCATAGGTTACCAGGTAATGGTGTATGAAAAATACTTTTTGTTTGCGTTTCTTGCGGTGATTTGTTGATTTCGCCGCCTTTTTGCTTTAATAATCGCACGGCGATGAGGAAACCGGACGCTGCTAGTGCAACGATGGCCAGAAAACTGATCGCAGCGAAATTGTACACTTGGTGATTGTCCTCCGCGCTGGCGATGACCTCGGCGTGTGCTTTCGCTTCTTTCGGCGAAATCTCCTCATCGGATTTCATCACGGTCCGATCCATACTCTTGATATTGACTTCGGCGGCGATCTGCGCCGTTGATACGTTATCAGTGTAATTTACAACATTTAATTTACCACTGGCTGTAGTGGTTTTAATTGTGGTTGTAATTAGCGCAATGCCAGCAGGTGATAATGAGCTTGGCGTTGTTAAGAGATACATATCAATCTTTTTGGCACCGTGCGCCTTTGTTGTAGTATTCGTGTCGAAAGTGTGGTACTTCTTAAGCACCGCCACCTTAACTTTATTCGTGCAGCGGCCATCTTGTGAGTCACAAATTTGATCAGTGTTACACTCACAGATACTCTCGCAATTCGCACCGTACAAACCCGGTTGGCATGGTTTCTCACATCTAAACAGAAATTATCACCTTGATTCTTAAAAAATTTATTAAAACATGAATTTTAACCTTAATCCAGTCCAGCCTGGAGGACAGCGACATCTACCCGTGTTTGAATCGCATACTCCTCGTTGGCACTCGCAATGATAACGACAATAACGTCCCCAGCGGTTTGAATCACAAGCTGTAATTAACATAAATTTAGAATTAGATTCGCAAAATGTAAAAACTTAATTACGAAATTTTATTTCGTTTTTTTTTTCTTTTGAGTTGTGAGTTCGGAATTGAATAGAAATTAAAATTAATGAAGTCGGAGTTGGAATGGGAGTGAAATTTGAAATAAATATTTAGTGCTTGTACTCTGTACCTGTCTCGCAATAGTCACCTCTGTAGCCGGGCTCGCAATAACACTTGTTCTCTTCGTTGCATTTGCCGTTCGCGCATCGCAATTTGCACGACGGCGCGCACTTTTCGCCTTCAATATCTGGTTCATAGCCGTCGCAGCAGACGCTCACCTGGCGGATTCGTTCTTCTTCCTAAAAAAATGTTAACTAACTATTTCACAAGTGTAAATAAAAATATCTAGAGCTATTCAATTAACCTGAATATGTTTTGCAACTTTTGAATTTTTTTCGATTTTTGATGAAATTAGTAAAAATTATAAAAAAAAACGTGAAATTATTATAGATAGTAAAAATATCTGTCTTTAGGATTAAAATTAATATTATTTTTATTATTAATTTATGAGTTATGATGATTTTTGTAAAAAAAAAATAATGTTTTCTGACTTTTTTCATATTTTTAGAAAAAATGAGCAATAAATTGTCAAAAACAAGGAATTATCTTTTAGTTAATGAGAATATCTATCTTTAGAACTGAAAATATATTTATTATTACTGTTACTTTATAAATTATAATTATTTTTGCAAAAAAATGAGTTTTATGGACTTTTTTTACGTTTTTTACAAAAAATTAGCAAAAACTGTCAAAAAACATGAAATATTCTTTTAAACAGCAAATATATTTATAATTAAATATAAAAATAATTTTAATATTATTATTAGTTCATAAATAATTATGTTTTTTGCAAAAAAAATAAATTTTGCGAATTTTTTTCACATTTTTTAGCAAAATTTGTAAAAAAAATTAGCAAAAATCGTTAAAAACCATGAAATTTTCTAATAAGTAATAAAAATATATTATGATTATTATTGTTACTTTATAAATTATAATTATTTTTGCATAAAAATGAGTTTTATGGACTTTTTCACGTTTTTTAGCAAAAAATTAGGAAAAATTGCCAAAAATCATTAAATTTCCTGGTAAATAGTAAAAATATGTATCAAAAGAAATACAAAGAACTTTATTATTATTATTAATTTGTAAATAATAATAGTTTTTGCAAAAAATAAAGTTTTATGATTTTTTTTTAAATTTTTTTTGCGAAAATTGCAGAAATAAGCAAAAATCGTCATAAAACATGAAATTTGCTAACTTGCTAAATTTGCTAGTTAATAATTATTAATATTTTTTGCAAAAAACTAATTTTCTTGTTTGTTTAACTAATAATAATCTCATAAACATGCAATTATGATCAATCTTGATAATTCTCCTATATTTCCATTAATACCAAGAATAAATCAATACAATTATGAAATAAACTATGAAATTCCATTTGCGAATGCAAAAAGGCGTACCCCAAGCCGCATTGTTGTCGCCTACTTGCAAGCGCACATTAATATATACCAACCGGATGCAATATCGCAATTAAACACAAGCGTGTTACACAACCGCGGCGAGTCTCCGCAATATTCACAACATTCTTTGTTATAAAATCGCATTGGTCGCTCCTTGATTGATTCTCGATCGAAAATAATCTCGACAACGGTGTTGATGATGCACGTGCTGTGTATGGTGTGTTGCGTGGTTGGGCGCGTGAGTAGCGCGCACGTGGTAATAAAACGCGGCAAAGAAACGTCAATACGGAATAGGAAATGACGCGTAATTTCGGCGCAGACTGCCGAATGCGCGGCATCAACGACTTCCTCGTGTTACACATCAGGTCGCAGGTAGCCGTAAAGTAATCTACTTGCTGGTTTTCCGTGTTTTCTTCACTCTGTGCGCTCCTTTCCCTTTGTGTCGAGCAGAGTATTCAATTAAACGCAGTCGTAAATGCTGATTTTCGTTTTATAAAATGATGAACTTTTTTTTAATATAGGCAACCAAATATACAAATTACATCATAGTAAATATTGCGATTAAATATTAGTTATGGGCAATTATAATGTTTCGTTATAATGTTTTCACATGAATTTAAGTGTGTGTTGGGTACTTAAGAGTGGTTTTTATTTTTTATTTTGGTCATGAGCGCTGTGTTATTCGCATGGCATCACTGTAATTGGAGCGGAACAGCATGGCGGTTGCCAAAGCCAATCGTGTGTGCATACCACTCACCGCACGAAACGAAAAACGACTTAACTTAAGTCAAGTTAAGTTAAGCTGACTTAACTTAAGTAGAATGTTTATAAAGACATTATACATGCTTATTTTAGTTTATTTTACTAAAATACTAGATTTTATTCGTAAATACTTACAATTATCCTTGATTCGTTGATAATACGATAAGAAAAAGTTGAACAACGTGGTGGAACTTGCATACACCATTGAAAACTACGAATTGTGATGTTTTTAGGGAAATATTCGGTTGTATTAACTGTATATCTGCAAAAATTTAAAAAAATTATTTTTTTTTTACAAAACTTGAAATATCTCCGAAAGTATTAATCGCACAAAATTTATAAAAATATGTAATTATGAGGAATTTAATTACGAATCTATTGGTTTTTGAAAATTTTTAAAAATCTTAATATTTTGAAAATTAAAAGCAAAAAATGTAAATTTTTCACTTCGCGTAACAGAAAGTGACATCATTTTAATATCAGCGACTTCCTCGTGTCAGTGTATATGTGTGCTTGAACTACCCACGATAAATTATCGTCCCCACAATCCGCAATGATAAATGTCTGGGTATTAGCGTTGAATTTACAAAAAATTGTAGTAATAAACGTTTTCTTTCCTTTTGCAACCAACCATTCGCGTGTGTGCGTGAATTCAATTGGCAATTGCCGTGTGTGTTATATTCTCATTACCAATGTGTGCACTTATGGCGTCGTGTCCGTTATTTATTGTGTTTCAATAGGCCGTCGTTGAAAAGAAATTAAACGGAGGGAAAAAATTGGGTCGCGCACGCTGTTACGTAATGTGTGTTGCATACGTATACGTACAATACAATTTTATTCTATTTTTGCGTTTCTAATGATTTTTATAGGTTAAAACCTAACCAAACTCGTAAAATCGGAGCGATTGCCTTTTTTGACCAAAGCGGCGTTGGAATTAGTCATAAACACGTTGCTTCATCGAGCACGCAGGTGAAAATTGATTGGAAAGTCACATTCCGATCGGATTTGAGATATTTATTTACGTTTTCGTTAATTTAATGCCGTTTAATCGGAAAATTTTGATATTTTGTAACAGAATACGAAGTAAAAGGTGATATGATATGTTTATGATGGAAATAATGCCGTAGTTGGTTTTATTTGATGGTATGTAAACAAAATAAGAGTAAAAACGTAAAAACTTCACGAGTAGAGAGCTCCACCTGGTCACCTGTACGAGTAGTTTATTTTGAGTGCGTAATTCCGATACGCCGGAGACGTGCTCCGCACACAGATCACTTTTACTTTTCCCGTGTGCGAGACAGTTGCTTCTTCCGGATACTACCTCGCCGACTGGCTTTTTGTGCTAGTAAATATGTGGTTTGTACATTGATGGCTAATAAATTTTGAGTTTATGTATTCGTGTGGTGTGTTTAATGGAATGCATATTATGCGTTTGTTTGGTTTTGCGTCTTTAAATTGCAATAACTACGAAAGTAATAAAGATAGATAATTGATTTTTGTTTCTATGTGTAGATAATTTTAAAATCTATGAAATTGAGTTTTTAAAGTTTAAAAAATTTTAATATTTAGTTGTTATTCAACAAAAACTGAATTAATATTATGCGTTTTTTTTTGTTTTGCGCCTTTAATTTGCAATAACTACGAAAGTAATAAAGATAATTAATTTATTTTTGTTTCTATGTGTAGATGATTATACAATCTATAAAATTGAATTTTTAAAGTTTAAAAAAATATTAATATTTAGTTGTTATTTTTAGATTTAATATTGATTTAATATTACGCGTTTATTGGTTTTTGCGTCTTAAATTTGCTATAACTATAAAACTAATAAAGATAAATTAATTATTTTTGTATCAATGTATAGATAGTTTTAAAAAATATAAAATTGAGTTTTTAAAGTTTAAAAAATATTAATATTTTGTTGTTATTCAACAAAAACTGAAATTATATTATGCGTTTTTTTATTTTTTTGTCTAAAATTTGCAATAACTACGAAAGTAATAAAGATAAATAATTGATTTTTGTTTCCGTGTGTAGATAATTTAAAAATCTATGAAATTGAGTTTTTAAACTTTAAAAAAATATTAATATTTAGTTGTTATTCAACAAAAACTGAATTAATATTACGCGTTTATTGTTTTTGCGTCTTATCTACGCAATAACTACGAAACTAATAAAGATAAATTAATTATTTTAGCTTCAATGTGTAGATAATGTTAAAAACTATAAAATTAACATTTTACAGATTTAAAAAATGTTAATATTTAATTGTTATTCAACAAAAACTTAAATAATTTTTTATCTGACAAAATCAACGATAACTTTGTTTTAAATAGTGATATCAAACTGGTTCTTGTCTTAAATGATAGATATTAATATTGTTTATGATATTACCACTTAAAAACTTTCATAATCTACTAATTTCTGCGCAATTTAAACAAAACCATAAAAATTGTCACCGGAAAGATTAGTCAACTGAGATTGCGTGTGTAAATCACGTTTAACGAACCAATAAACCAACTTTATTAATGTGTGATGTTTAACAGCGCATACCAGATCATTTGCCAATAAACAATTTAAAAGTTATATTTATAACGCGCTTATTCATGCGTAATACTTCCGTTTTCCATTCATTATGCAATTAATAACAAATCAAATCAAAAATAAAAATATCACCGACTCTAAGTAGGTTATTTTGTGTTGTTATGTTGTTAAGTGTATAATAGTTTGTTTGTCGACGAGTTGTGTATCGACAAGTGGATTTAATTGCTCTGCGATTAATTGGCACATGGAACCTGACCTTTCCTCGCGCTGGCAAACATGCTCGCCGGATAATCCAGCCGCATTCGCCGCCGTCGCGAGCAGGAAGCAAACGGCAGCGGCGGCAATCGCCGCCCGCTTGTTAATTATCGCCGGCGCGTTAATTACGCGTCCGATTTCAGGCGTGTCAAGCGCATTGTCCTGGAAGTCCATTCCCATGGGCTTGGATGAATCACATCCAGAGGGAGTTACGCTCAGACGCACTTTCACACCACGATAGGCAACTTCTGATGCATTACCAACGTCTAAAAGTAGATTTAAACAGAAAAATATTAAGAAAATCATTAATTAAACGTATTATTTATATCTAAAATCAATAAATATATAAATAAACTAAATTTTTCGGAAATTTCAACTTTAAATTACTTATTTTTAGTTGAATAATCAAAATCTAGATGGAGTTACACGCTGTGACACATTCTGACAACTATAGGCAACTTGTCATGCAGTACCAAAGCCTTAAAATATCTTTAAACACAAAAATATACAGAAAAACATTAATAAAACGTGTTTTTTATATCAAAAATCAATAAATATATAAATAAACTAAATTTTTACGAAATTTCAACTTTAATTCATAATTTTTAATTGAATAATCCACAACCAGGGGGAGTTACACTCCAAAACATATTCTGTCAACTATAGGCAACTTGTAATGCATTACCAAAGCCTAAAAATAGCTTTAAACACAAAAATATTAAGAAAAACATTAATAAAACGTGTTATTTATATCAAAAATAAATAAATATAGAAATAAACTAAATTTTTACGAAATTTCAACTTTAACTTACTAATTTTAGTTGAAAAATCAACAACCAGAGGGAGTTACACTCCGAAACACATTCTGTCAACTATAGGCAACTTGCAATGCATTATCAAAGCCTAAAAATAGCTTTAAACACAAAAATATAAAGGAAAACATGAATAAAACGTGCTATTTATATCCAAAATCAATAAATATATAAATAAACTAAATATTTACGAAATTTCAGCTTTAATTTACTAATTTTAGTTGAAAAATCAACAACCAGATGGAGTTACACTACAAAACGTATTCTGTCAACCATAGGCAACTTGTATTGCATTATTAAAGTATCAAAATAGCTTTAAAACACAAATTTATGAAATCAAACATTAATTAAACGTGTTGATTGTATTCGCAATCAATAGATCTAGATCTCAAACTGGAAATCAACTAAATTCACAACAAGTTTCAACATTCATGCGCCAAAACTTTTCTGCATCTCACACCAGGTTGAAATTTCATGCGCATGTCGACTAAAACTAAAGTTCGAAAACTACTTCATATCACTGAATACGAGTACGTCGACAACGCGCTCAATGCAATCATTCACGCTATTTAGTTGGTTAATCCGAATGATTACGTAATGAATTAAAATTTAAATCGCGTTCTGCACTTAATTAGCCGAAGCCATTTGAATATTTTAATTATATCTTGCACAATATATACCTTTCGACGTGTTTTTAGCTGGTGTAGAATCAAATGTCACTTCCACTTCCGATAAAACTTTACACACACTTCACATTCGGCGCAAACTCAAATAATAACTGTCCGGCAACTTCTCACATTGTTCATTCAACCGCCGACGCACTGTGGACGAGTAAACTCGACATTACTGAGTAAAATGTTTACAATTTCTTCACACTTGTGAACGCTGACGACGCAACATCAAACATCTGCTTAATTTCTTAATAAAATCTAATTACATTCGCAGTCGGCGTTGAGTTATATTAAAGTTTATTTCGTGTTTTGTATTTTGTGTGCTTTGGTGATGGAGAACTTGCATCCGTGGTCGCGATGCTTCTGTTTATCGAGTTCTGCACAAAGCATGAACGTGAATGTGAACAAGGGACGCTTGGTGACGAGATTTAAATGAATGGAATTGACCCAACAAGAGGATGTTATTGTTTCGATAGCTCTCTGAGCATCATCAGCTTTATTGCACTACATATGTTTAAGAGCTGTTGATATTAGAATTATATTTTATTATTGCAACATAAAAACAGCTTTAAAACACTTTAAATTTAATTTTTAGGTTATGTTAGGTTATACTAGGATATATTAGGTTATGCTACATTAAGATATAAAAAATTATTGATTTATCTCTTTTAGTTTTTGAGTTATCACGATTTTTATAAAATTTTTACTCAAAATTTACTTCAAAATACACGAAAACCTAACTTTTTATTTAAATAACTCGAGAATTAATTAACTTAAAATTATAAATTTATCTACACTTATTCTCCATGAAATTCTCTTTAAAATGACATATAAACCAATTCTCTACGACGTTTGTAACCACTCCAAATTAATAAACTTTCAAATTTATTAATATTAGTGAATTTAATCCATTAGTTGAACTTTTGTCACGCTCGACTCACCACACACACATTACCCATAAATAAACACAATAAATAAAACAAATGAAACATCATGGGATCCATTATTATATCGGCCACCGCGAAATTATTCGATTAAGTGTTACACAATCATTTAATACAGCTCGTTGTGGCTCCCAAGATGCGAAGAGAACGATAAGGCAATAATAAGACAATGAGGCTTTTGTTCGCTGCGATGTGAGACAAAACGTCGAAGTGTTTTTTCGAAAGAAAGCCTTTCATTCCATTCCATTGCTATCAAAATGGAGATTTTATCCACCAGCGCCATCTATGTGTGTAATAGTATTAATAACTGATTGATACATATTAATAGTATGAATCTAAATTTACCTAATTGAATAATCAATGAATAAAATGAACAAAAACTGGTTTTTCATTAAGTGCGCTTGTGAATGGTGAAAACACATCATTTTGCAATGCAGCGAACGAATCGAAGCGCAAAAAGGTTTTGAGCAGCGGTGTGGGTTATGTGAAACGGTTCGCAGCGAACGAAATGAACGAGGAAGCAACGCAGATTTAATAGCTCTTACCTGCTGATTTATGATATCTTGTAATAATTGCGTCGCATTGCATCGCACGCACGCAGGCGGCCATCTTCTCGTTCTCATGCGTTTGAAACTGAAACACACATCAACATCTACACAACTCAGGCGCCGATGTTGTAACATTTTTAATGACCCAATACGAAATTATTACTCATTTGTATATTTTATCATAATTTAGATATAGTTTTAGGCATAAATCGCTTTAAAAATGTCAAAAATGTTAAAAAAGTATTTTGGGTTGCATAACTAGAGTAAGTACTTTCTTGAGGAAACGATTATTATCTTGTGAAGTATTCCAATGTAGATACAATCAATAATTCACGTTTTAGTTACGTTCGACATTCGAATAAAAGCTTTTGTTATGCTTACGTTGAAATAATGTTGATTCATGTGATGAGAATCAAGTCTTTTCTTTAATTATCGCATTCAATTAGCAGTCACACATTATTTCTTGCCAAATTATACATCTTCACATCTACTGTTTGTTTGTGTGCTATATAATATATATCATACTCGCAGAATGTTGAAATTTAGAAAGAGATTCGCGAAATGTCTGTGAACCATTTTGTTTTGTGTGCTGTGACGTAGATAAATTTAATGGCGGCATAAAATTTGGATATTTACACTCTACTCATGTTTAAATGATGAGAAAATAAGATGAAACTAAATTTTTATTTTTTAATGTATATTTGGTTGCATACATAGCAACATGAATAGCTCTGCATTCATTTTAATTTTTAATTGTGAATATCTCCCATTGTTTATTTGTAAATAATAAATTCAGTTCAATTAATTTCGGTTATTATAATATCCAAAACAATAATTAAGTTAATTAACGTTTTGTATTCAATATTCAATGAAACTTTAAATTTAAAGTTCTAATTCACATGCGATTGCTTTAATTTTAACATTTGTTAGACGATGAAGCAATTAATTGCGGTGTAATAAAATTATGAACCATTTTGAATTTGTGTAATGCACTTGTATTTCACCATAATTTAATTGCAATTATGCAATAATTTAAAAAAACTAAAAAAAATAGAAACATAATTTTAATATTTTTAACATTTTTGCGTATAAATGTCACCCGGTAGCGCTTGTCCAACATCGAAACGAGAAATTAAAACAAAATTAACTTACGAGTTCACACAGCGCATAGGAAGCAACGAATTCATCCGAATTCCACGCCGGACTAATTCGCCAATAAATAAGAGAAAGTATTGCGATGGCATTTCGATATCGCATCGTCCAAAGCGCTCAGATAATCCGTAATAATATATTGCTTTGCATTAAGATCAAAAAGTAAAAAAGAAAAAATTAATTTTCGTCTTCTTCAGCGAATACTGCGGTGGATTTGTTTGAAGATGTAGTGGCTTGTTGAGATAATAGAAAGCAACTTCTATCAGTCGAGTAATTGGACTAGGAAGTTGATAATTGAATCAATTGAGAGCCGCAATTTGTAACATTTAGCAAGCAACGCAAAAATAACACAAGAAAACGTGTCCCATTGTTATTTCCACTTGAATTTTATTTGTTTTATTTTTAACATCTTAGAAATAAACTAAAACATAAAAAAAAAAATTTATCGGTTTAATGTATTTTATGTAAAAATCATGGAAATAAACGTTGTAGATCGATTGAAAGGTGAATAAATAAACAAGTTTAACATTTGCGCATTGTCTATGAGTGTGTGCATGTAAGAAAATAGTAAACATAAGTCGTGTCTCGTTAGAAAACGTGCGCGATGCAAATTTCGCACGAGAGCTCCTTTTCTGTCGCAATGTTGTTGCGCCGCGGTCGTGCGTAATCGACAATAATAATCAATAATAAAATCCGAGCGCACAATCGTGCCAAAGCAGATTCCTCCGCAATCAAATTGCTACAGCATCAATCAATTTACGTTTTTTTTGTTCGATGTAAAAATAAATTGCATTGCTGTTTAATATTAAATCAAGGTCAAAACTACAATCAATACAATTTTATTTAATTATGAATAAAACTCGTTATAATATTAATTATTAAAAAATTTTAAAAATTTCCTGCATTATCGACTATTCAAAATACTACATAACCTTAACCAAAAATTACATTTTTGCTTATAACTTTTTTATTTTTAAATATTTTTTATGTTTTAAAATATATTCTGATAGTCAGTGATAAGATCAAACTATAAACAAAATTTGATCAAAATCTGTCGACCGGTTCATGAGTTATTAACAAAATAAAAACTGTGACTTTGATTTTTATATTACAGAGATCTGTAAGTGTCATTCATGCGGTGACAAAGGTTGCCTACTGGCACACATCGATTTCAGGTGAAAGTAACACCGCGACACAGCGGCTTCTTTATAAATTTTTGCATTTTCCTTCTAGAATAATAACAATGGAATCGATGCGGCAATATAATGAATATAATTCCACGCACGTTTTGCTTACGTTCTGTTTATTTTCACTTAATAACAAATTATATTATAATACAAGTACACGCGAATAAAAAGTATAAAATTCTATCTTAAACTATGACTATTTATACATCATATACAATTATTTCTTACACTTACACCAAAATCATTATTATTTAAAAAGAAATGTGTTTACTCACGCGTTGCAATCGTTATTGATTCAACTAAACATGTTCAACAAAGCGTGTCTAACATTATTGTATTTTTTCGGCGTTTTGTGAACAACAAAAAAATAGTTAAATGCTTCGTATTCATGTAACACTATAATTAAACGTTCGGAGACTTAATATTAAAGACCGGAATTAGTTACGGGCTCTCAGCCAGCATCCGTGGCATGCGTTTTGTGAAAATTTCGACCGTTATTAGTTGCTTAAGAATTTTAGAAATTTCGTTAGGTATCTATTAATTTCGCTCCCAAAACGATTTAAATTTCAAGAGTTTATAATTAATCAATAGATCAACAGATGGCAGACGCAATTTGTAATTTTTTTAAATTTTTACAAAAGTAGAGCATAATTTAGGTTAGAAATGAAAAAAACAATCAAACAATCAAGTATTGTCAAAGAAGAAAAAACCCGGTGACCTTAAACGACTTAAATTACTTACTTAAGTTAATTGAACGGATGTATTTGTATGTTTTGACAATATCTTGTGCAATATTCCACGATTTTGCAAATAATTACAAGTGCGGTGCGTGACATAGACGTAAAAAAATTCCCTGACGGCGCGCACGTTCAAAATTGACAAAAACTTTCTCCGAAAAATCGACATGCCGCATATGTTACTGTTACACTTGTGTAGCGGATACGAAATGTGTATCAAGAAGAAAACCGACAACCGAAAGCGAAAAGAACCGGATTACTTAATTTCAAAAATAAAAACCGAGACAAAAACAATCAATATCTATTCCACGTGATAATCCCTAGCACAGACAACATAACCAACAAATTACTATTGACAGTTTGTGGTGCCGAGTTATAGAACCCACCATACACTTGCAAACCAGCTGTTTCGATGCTTTGCTTACAATAATCACCATCATACAACCAACCGACGTATTCCTGTGTGCGTAGGTTTTCATTTCGGAGCCAATCCTCCAAGGGCCGGAAATATTCCCTTAACGCCGCACCACTAATCCGGGTCTCACCTGTAGCTTGATACAAAGTGTCAGCCCATGGTAAAGAAGATCCCTTTTCCATTAGATTACTAAAAATAGAAATAAAGCGAATTAATTTCATAGGAAGACAAAAAGACATGTTTGATGGTAGGTCTTGTGTAAAAACACAACGAGGTCGTTGTTTTGATGCATGAACGCACCACATGAACATGGTATGACAATTTTATTGTGTGATGTTTAAGTTTTTCGATTCATTTTACGTTTTACATTTTACATTTGCGCTATTGAATAACACAACACACACTCATGGTACGGCGAAAGACACAGCGGAGACAGAAGGTGGGTACCATGAGTATGCGCTCGACGGTGGCGAAAGTGATGTGGAGGTATAAAAACCGTCCGGGTCTCATCGACAACAAGCAGTTCACTTCTTGAACGCACAGAACAAACACACGAGGCAGCTATGAAGCCATTGGTGAGTTAAGTGCAATTTTGTGTTACTTAAGATAAGTCATTATATTGTTGGTAATCCTTTCCTTAGCTGTGCATCGCGATCTTAGTCCTCGCTGCAGTGGCACTTGGTGCCGAGGCCGAGGAGAAGAAAGCAATTGACGCTGGCGATAAGAAGCAAACCAAGCGTGGATTACTCGACTTGGGTTACGGATACGGCGGTGACTTCGATAATGGATACCATGTTGGAATTGGTGGACATCACGGACATGTTGAACACTTTGGACATCATGATCATCATGACCATCATCATCATTACTCCCCGATCAACCTAGGTCACCATACCGATGTGGAGAAAACCATTACTTACTACAAGGGTATCCCACAACCCTACCCGGTGTACAAACACGTCCCGGTACCAGTGACGAAACATGTTCCAGTCCCAGTGAAGGTACCCGTTCCACAGCCGTACCCCGTTGAGAAGCATATCCATGTTCCAGTTAAGGTCCCTGTCAAGGTACCAGTACCAGTGCCGCAACCCTACCCGGTTGAGAAGATAGTGCACGTCCCAGTCAAAGTGTACGTGGATAAACCATATCCAGTGAAAGTTCTGGTCCCACAGCCGTATCCAGTTGAGAAACACATTCATGTTCCAGTCAAGGTACCCGTACCACAACCGTACCCTGTTGAGAAACACATTCCATACCCAGTTAAAGTACCCGTACATGTTCCACAACCCTACCCAGTCTACAAAGAAGTACCAGTACCTGTAAAAGTACCAGTTGATCGTCCATACCCTGTGCATGTCCCACAACCATACCCTGTCCATGTAGAAAACGTATTCCAGTCCCAGTCGAAAACCAGTGCCGTACCCGGTGAAAGTACATGTTGATCGTCCAGTACCATACCCAGTGGACAAACCATATCCGGTTCCAGTAAAGGTACCTGTACCACAACCTTTCCCTGTTTACAAGCAAGTCCCGGTACCAGTTGAGAAACCAGTGCCCTACCCGGTGAAGGTACCCGTTGACAGGCCTGTGCCCTATGAGGTGATCAAGCATGTTCCGGTCCATGTTGAGAAACCAGTACCTGTTCCAGTGAAGGTACCCGTTCCGGTACATGTCCATCATGAACATCAATATGAACACCATGATCACCACTATGACCATCACGACCATCACGGCCACTACGATCATCACTACTAAATAGATAATTTATAATTGTGATCCACACTGTGTGTGCGCTTCTTCATGCTGAGAATGTGTGTCTTTTTTCTTCTTCTTGACTTGACATCGAATAATTCTTCATTTTTGTTTTTGTATCTTTAATTTATATGTTTTATAATAAAAAAATATTCTTTACATGATGAATTTTATTTTTTTAAAAGAAAAAAATTTTTTTTTGATTTTTTGATTTATGACACTTACACTTTCACCAAACCAAACCAAAACGAAACTTAATTAAAATAACCAGATTAATTGCCATTCGTGTGGCGAATACGTAGTAATGCGATTGATTTATATTTCACATCAACTCTCACAAATTGCTGGCGTTACGTGATATGTGGAGTAAGAGAAAAAACACATTTGCGTACTTCCGGTTTCTTCAGTCTTCGCTCTTCGGCAATTAAATTCGCTGGAGGAACGCGCGTGAATGTAATCTAGCACTGCGTGCGTCTCACACTCGCATGTGAGGAGCTTGATTGAAACGAATACGTAAGAAAATTGATGTCGAGCACATTCACATTGTTGATCTACATTTAGTTGCGTCGAGAGTGAAATTGCTTCATACATGCATTAAATTTGTATTAGATTTTGTTTTCAATTTGCCGCACAAAGTGATTCAAACGTTATTAGTACATAGAGAATTTCTTACGACATTTATTTATAGTGATGATTTGGTGTGTTATTTTGTATTTGAGAGAAATAAAGCAATTTTTGTAAATATTTTGCAAAATAAATCGTTTTTTGATGTTTTTTACTCAAATTTTTGTAAATTGTGTGTAATTAAGAGTTATATACACTTTGATATATAGTTAATATAACAGTTTTTATCAAAATCTATACTTTAGTCCAAAATTGGTTGTTTTATGTATTTTCGTTTAAAAGTTATTGCAATTTTTCTGATTTTTTGCTTATAAAAGAAAAATTCGTAATTTTTTCATATATTTTTTAAATTTACAACTTATTGATAAATTTATATAAACCAAAATCTCATCAACTTTCTAGGTTTTAATGAGATCTATCATTTGAAGTAAGAATCATTTCCATATCTTAATTAGTTTTTGAGTTATAACAAATTTTGTGTTCCAATTTTAAGCAAATTTTGCGTCAAAAATCGTCTAAAACACAAAATTGATATTTTTCCTAATTATTATTCTTATTTTCTTTCCTACACATTCAACCAAACTAAATAATTAAATCAGAATTGATTTCTTTTGCTATTGCAGAAAGAAATTACGAATTTATTTGCCTGATGAACACAAACAAACAAAAAAACTTGCGATAAAGAAAAAGGAAGCAAATGACAGTCACATCACATCATGATGCAAATATTGCACATATCGAAACACAAATGGCACAAATCTTATAAAAACCACCGGTTAATACATTTGATCATCAGTTGAATCTTTTCTTCTTCAGTATAAACATGAATTTGGTACGTAAACAACAATTTAACAACAAATTTTCTTTCAAACTTTTTTTATTTTTAAATTTTTAGTTGTGGTTTTTACTCTTTTTGGTATTTTTTAATAAAATCCAAGCTGAAGATAAAACAAACTCAACAATTCAACCAAAAATAACCTCAAAACATGATACATCAACAGTGGTACCATCAAAAACAATAAATGAAGACTCAAAACAACCAAATACGAATATTAACAAATCAAAAAACTTAAAAATCGAAGGAAAACAATCCGAAGACAAAGTACAAAAACGTGGTTTAGCCCTAGACGTAAACTACGGATACAGTGACAAATTTGACCATGGATATTACCTCGATCATAACCTAGACATACCCCTAACAACCCCTGCACCTACCTTAACCCTACCAACATTTCCACCTGATTATTTCCTGTCAACCACAACAACAACCACAACACCATCTCCTTTACTACATCCCCCTTTACCTTCAGGTGCTATCAACCTAGGTCACACAACCCACATCCACAAAACAATCACCTTCTATCAAGGTATCCCTGAACCCTACCCGGTAATCAAACATATCCCTATCCCAGTAGAAAAACAAATCCCAGTCGCAGTAAACATTCCCGTACCTGTCCCGGTCCCAGTTGAGAAAACAATTCACGTCCCAATAAAAGTACCGGTGAAGATACCTGTACCCATACCACATCCATATCCGGTTGTTAAGGAGGTAAGGGTTCCAGTAAAAGTATTCGTGGATAAACCATATCCGGTTTATGTGCCACACAAAGAAGAAGAATATTACCAAAATTTTGATCATCATTATCATTGGAAACCGGAAGTACCCAAACCGGAACCGGAAATTAAACCGGAAAATTGGGAAAATATAGAAGAGCCTCATTTTGGTCCACATTATCACCTAGGTGATGATACACCACATTTTGTTACTGTACAGAAACCGGAAAACAATGATTTCGATAAATATTATTCAGCGTCGAATAAAGTTGAGAAAAATTATCAACCAAAGAAACCGGAAGTGGATCATGAAAGAAAACGGCCTAGACCTGTTACTAATAAATACAAAAACGAGCGTGACCATCGTGATTATTATAATTATAACAATAAACATCGTGATTCTTACGACCATCAACATAGAGATCATAGATATCATCGAGATCACACAAATTATAGAGATCATAAAGATCAAAGAGAACATCGTCAACGAGAAGACAAAAACAAAGAAAAACAAGATGAATTGATTTTACATACAAATTTTTAATTTTTTAAATAAATAAATTCTGTGAAACTAGTTTTGTGTTAAATTTGACGCCATTTTAAGTCAACTGGGTTAACATGTCTCTGGTAGTGTTGTAATAGAGACATAAACTAAATGTTTTCATTTGTATTTAACTTAGTTTAAGGCAGTTTCACTCACTTGCAATTAATTTAAATAAATAATTTATTTATATTAACATAAACGGATATATTACTATTACTATTATTACTTTTATTACCGAATTCCTGTCTTGCACAATTTAACTCATGCATAATTAAAATTAAAATAAAAACATGACTTAAGTTAAGTCACTTAATTCTTGACTTAAGTAACTTTACTTAAGTTTTGACTTAAGTCAAAAAAATCTATTTTATGCAATTTGAGTCAACATTGAACATTTTTTGACATGGCCAAAGTAAAAAAATTAAGGATGTTGCTAAGTATTAATTATTTATTGCAAAGAACACGAAATTTTTATGATTGAAAGATAAACAAAAGGAAAAAGCAACGACAAAATAATGTATATCTTAACCTTGATCGGAATATTGCGAAAAATGTAGCTCAATAATTGTTTGAGTGAATTTACTTGAATGTTGAATGTTAACTGTTAAGTTGACTTAAGTTATTTATCAATGTAGAAACGTAGAGACTTGAAAGTCATGCAAGTACAAGAAATCCAACAATAAGAAACAAGTAAAAGTAAAATATCTTCATTTCTTATCGTGTTTTGCATCTTGACGTTGGTGGTTATTGCATAAACAATATGTGAATGCAAAATTATAAATAAATAAATAAATATACGGAAGTTAATTTTTTGCAAAAATAAATTTAATAGTATATTAAGTATCAAGTGGCTAAAAGGGTGTTTTAGTCACGAGTTTGATTAAAATCTTCAACCCGTGACTAAAGGTCGTGATTAAAGTACTTTATTCACGACTTTAGTTGTTCGGGTTTAAAAACTGTCGAAGTAGAAAAAAATGTTTAAAAAATAGAAAAAAATTATGTGCGTACGCAATTTGTGTTTTTTTGTTGTTGTTGTTAATTTTACGTTCATTGCCGTTGTGTTGAAACACCGCTCACAGCATCACAACCAAAACAATGACTCTAAAAGTCTAAAAAACTTACAAAAGCGGCCATTATCCACCTGGCAGTAAATCACTTTTCGCTTTCAGTTTTATTGAACATCAAATTGTAGCAATTTGTAATTTTCGCTTGACATTTATAGCTCACTATAATTTTTTCCCAATTTACCAACCAAAACCAAAACCCGCAAAAAAAAACCTAAGTTACTTAAGTCTAAACAATTATAGAGAATCCGTTTAACAACCAGTTTGTACTTGTATCGTAATAATAAATAATTAGTGTAATTGAATCGGACTTTCTTAATCATAATACTCGTACATATTGCGACTGCGCGCGCAGCTCACAACGCACTACTACTGTAGGTAAAACTGTTACTGCAACACCGGACTATTTCGCATGCAACAATCATTTATTGCTCATGTATTAATAGCCGCAGCTGTGGAAGTTGTGATTTTGTAAATTTCTTTTTACTTCTTGTCGTCGCCAACAATTTAAACTAGGTCAAGGCTTTGATTATATCCCAACGCAATTTGTGAGCGTAAAGTGTCATCAATTAAACAAGTTTAGATCAAATTAATATCGAACACTCACCTTAAAATGCGGCCAGCATCACGACTCCGGTATATGTCGCACTTGTGCAATGGCCTTGATAAATCCGCCGGATCGTACTGTCCCGCCGCCTGGCACAAAGAGCGATAGATTTGGAATTGCAGAATGGTGCTCACGAAATATCTAGAACAAGCATAAGAGTTTATACATACATCAACAGCTAATTAAAATATTGTGTAATGTGCGTAATGTTTGTGTGCACACGATGATTTCGCATCCACTTCATTTGCACTTCCTCGCCATATCATGATAAACTTGTATTTTCTGTCCGTTTGCCAACTGACGCTCGTTTTGTAATGGAGCGCGTTACGTGACGTGGGTTTCTTCTCGTCTCGCACGTGTCGGAGTCATTATTTGATCACGTGGGATGACACGAGGTAAAAATTGGGGATTTTTAGGTTATATTGTCATATTTTAAGCTTTTTTATGGTCAAATGTGGAGAAAAATAGAAGAAATTAAAAAATATTTTGTTTTTAGGTTATATTTTGAAATATTAACCTTGTTTAACCTCAAAATCAATGAAAAATTATAGAAATGTGTATCTAAAATGATTCATAACCAAAATATTTAATTTTTAGGTTATACTTTGACATTTTAACCATAAATAAACTCAAATATTAAGAAAATTAAAAGAAATCTATAAAAATCTTGAATTTTTAGGTTATATTATGGTGTATTTAACTCATTTAACCTCAAAATTACTGGAAAATTAGGTGAATATTCCTAGTTTTCTTAAAATACTAAATTTTTAGGTGGTATTTCAATATTTTAACCTCAAATAAGCTCAAATACAAAGAAAAATTTAAAAATCTTCCAAAAAATTGTTTTTAGGTTATATTATGCTATATTAACCTCATTTAAGCTCAAACTTATTCAAAAATAACTAAAATCTTCCATTTTTATGTTGTATTTTAATATTTTTACATAATTTAACCTCAAAATTAATAAAAATTAAAGAAATATTCTATTTTCAAGTTGTGTTATGATATGTTAACCTAATTTAACCTCAAAATCACTTGAAAATTAAATAAATGTTCTTAGTATTCTTGAAAGAGTAAATGTTGAGGTTATATTTCAATATTTTAACCTAAAACAAGCTCAAATACCAAGAAAAATTTATAAATCTACCAAAATTTGTTTTTAGGTTATAATATGCTATATTAACCTCATTTAACCTCAAAATTTATGAAAAATAACTAAAATCTTTCATTTTTAGGTTGTATTATGGTGTATTTTACTGATTTAACCTCAAAATTACTGGAAAATTAAATAAATGTTCCTAGTTTTCTTAAAATACTATTTTTTTAGATTATATTTCAATATTTTAACCTCAAATAAACTCAAATACAAAGAAAAATCCTCCAAAATATGTTCTTATGTTATATTATGCTATATTAACCTCATTTAACCTCAAATTTACTGAAAAATAACTCAAATATTAAATTTTAAGTTGAATTTTAATATTTTAACCTAATTTAACCTCAAAATTAATAAAAATGAACAAAATGCTTAGTTTTCCAAGTTGTGTTATGATATGTTAACCCAATTTAACCTCAAAATGAACGGAAAACGTTTGTATGTTTTATTTTCTACGTTGCTTCTTTCTGTAACAGTTACGTAAGCGCAACATCGTGCAATTGAATTAGCCTGCAGCTCCACAAACGAGATACACTCGAAAACGAGCGAAAAATTGTTTGTTTTGCGCGTTAGGGGCCGCCGCGCACAAGAAAATCACTTTCTCGCTCGTTAGCCGGCCGTGCAACTCTATAAAATGTGCCATAATCGTATATTTCAGCCGGGTCAGTACATTTTCAAACTGCAGGTAGGTAGGCTACTCATTGTTCGCAATTCACGAATTCTATTCCAACTCTTGAGAGATGCGTATTGGGCAAAACGTGACTACGACTTGGCCGGTCGACTACGTAACACGAATCAAAGTGTATGCGCTTGTATAACCCTATTAATGTACGATATGGTAGGTGCCATACCAATAGTTGGGATGTGTAGTCGCAGAGTAGAGGTGGTTGGGTTGCACGCTTGAACGCGGTATTTTCAGTCGCCATTGAAGATCGAAAGCGAAAGTAAAGTGGTGGCATTGTATATAAAGTTACCGCCAGCCCCGATGATAACCACAAACAGTTCGCACGGTTCGAACTGGTAGATTACCAGGTGTGTCCGAAAATGAAACTACTGGTGAGTTTCAAGTGTGAAAAATCAAATTAAACGAAAACAGTGACCAGCATTGGATTATAGTGATTACAGTTCCTAATCTTCTGGTGTGTTTCAGTTAATACTAGGGTTCTTAGTTCTCATCGCTTCCGTCACCTTGGGTGAGGAAGCGAAGGAGAAGAAGGCGTCCCTGGATGATAAAAAACAAACAAAACGTGGTCTGTTGGGTTTAGGCTACGGTTATGGACCTGAATTTGACAACGGATACCATCTGGGTCAAGGCGGACATGGAATCATCGGTGGGCTTACTTTGGGTCATGGTGCCTATGACCCAGGATACCATGGTCATGAAACCGTACACACCATCGTCAAAGGAGTACCTATTCCATACCCGGTTGAGAAACACATCCCGTATCCAGTGGAGAAACACGTGCCGTACCCAGTGAAGGTACCCGTACCTGCTCCGTACCCCGTGGAGAAGGAAGTACACATTCCATACAAAGTAGCTGTGAAGGTACCATATCCAGTTGCACAACCTTATCCAGTTGAGAAAATCGTCCATGTCCCTTATAAAGTTTACGTGGAGAGACCTGTACCAGTGAAGGTATTCGTCCCTCAACCATATCCAGTTGAAAAACAGATTCATGTACCAGTCAAGGTACCAGTACCAGCACCATACCCAGTAGAGAAACACATCCATGTCCCATATAAAGTTGCTGTTCATGTTCCACAACCTTATCCAGTTGTGAAGGAAGTACCTGTTCCAGTGAAGGTACCAGTTGATCGTCCTGTACCAGTGCATGTCCCACAACCATACCCTGTCCATGTAGTCAAACAGGTACCTGTTCCTTATCCGGTTGAAAGACCATACCCAGTTAAGGTTGCTGTTGATAGACCAGTACCATATCCAGTTGAGAAACCATACCCGGTGCCAGTGAAGGTACCTGTACCAGCACCATACCCTGTTATCAAGGAGATAGGTGTTGCCGTTGAGAAACCTGTGCCTTATCCAGTCAAGGTACCTTATGATCGTCCATATCCGGTTGCTGTTGAGAAACACGTGCCCTACCCTGTGGAGAAACCCGTACCTTATCCAGTGAAGGTACCCGTACCCTACCCGGTTCATGATCATCATTATGACCCGCATTACGGACATTATTGAACATAACCAAGAAGAAAACAATGTAAATGATATTTTTGTATGTGTATAATTTATACTTAACTTAAATAAAGTAACGTAAAAAATTAAATTGACTTAAGTCAGATTTGTCATCACTTGCCACATCTAGGTGTGAATTGTGCCAGAGGAATTGCACAAGAAAAAAGTAGAAAATCAAATTCCCACAGAAAACAAACAAACAAAATGATTGTTAGTTATACAACCAACAATACAACATTCACACAAAAAAACAATTTCAACGAGTCTGTGGATTTATTTATGCTTAAATATCAAATTTAATGATGCGGGGTACACGGTCAGGTCAGATCGTTAAAAATTGAATATTGATGCCAAAACAATTAGAAATGAATCGGTGATTTAAGTAATTTAAGCCATGCAGCACAGCAACTCAATTAGCAACCATTATGAAAATTGGTTATGTAGTTGTGATCGTTAGTTAACAAACTGCAATTAATGTCAGCATGTCAGCAACAAGAAGTAGAACGATTCACTTTTCTATGCAGACTCCGAACAGAATGTTTGTCCTTGATATTATTGAATTCATGCATAAATAGATATAATAGACGTGAAGTAAAAGCTTTTATAGGTTATACACGCTCACGGTCACGCGGACAATAACACAATGTACACAAAGTAGGCAACACACATTGCATTGTAGCATAACCATGATTATTCTTATGAAATATTTTCTAAAAACCAATTTTGTGTTATTTTAAGCATAAATTAACATTTATTAGTCGTGTTTGGTACTAATTTATGACGTAAACTTAAAATATCTATAACTTTTTGTTTTTTTTTAGTTATTTTTTTGTTTTTTGCGTATTTTTTGCTTGAGATTTATATCTTTCTGCAGAATACGATGATAATTATGTTTGGAAAATGTTGCCGTTGCTGCATTCCGTATGTGTGCCGCATTTCATGGGTATTTATGTTCGCATTATGCGTTACAGCATTACATAATGTTGTTGTTGTTGTTCTGGTTAGCCGTTAGCCGCCGCAGACGCTTGTCGTTTGTTTACTTCATTGTTTCGACGCTTTTCTCTCGATATGTGTGCGAATGTGCTCGATCGCATGTTCTCGTCATGTTCCAAGACTAATCAGCAGATGAATAATTGCCACAAGTGTGTATTTTACTGGTAATTAACAATTATGTCAATATTGTTGAAAATATTTTAATTATCTTTCGCGCTTTGACGATGTAATTAATTTTGGACATGAAATTATCAAAAGCGCATTAATTGGACGCGTTATAATGAGTTGTGTTGTAATTATAAACAATATTCTATTATTATACAGTGGAAAATCAATTTATTTTATCGTGGAGAATATTTTTAGTTGAAAAGAGTATGGTAGCGACATCTCATGGTGTTTTAGAGAGTTTAAAAGTATAAAGGGGGACTGTGTAGTGGTGTGCGTGTGTAGTGCATGTGTGTCAGTGAAAGTACATTGGGTTATACGGAGTGACACTCCTGTCCGTGTGAGTGCGTCACATTCACACCAACAAGAACTCTACTCCGCTGCTTGAGTAGCGCACGAGTAGAATCTACAAACCAACTAATTCCCTAATTCTCTACTAGCTGGCGCTGCAATGCATTTATTTACATTAAAATCAAAACCGCATTTATTTCACGCTTCACAGACTTCAGAATCAAACGCGATAACAAAATATAAACAAAATTATATCAGTATTACTTTGCCACATAAAATATTTACGTGTTTCTCTTGAATTTAACGTTTTGCCAACTCTAAAATGACTCTTGGTTGTATTTTTCTCGGAAACATGTGATTATTACAGTTTTGAGCGTCTAAAAAAGCAGTTTAATGGAAAATCAAGTCCCCGACAAGTCAGCGCTTAACGACGCAAGAGGTAAGAAAGAAGTAATTACTCGTTAGTAATAGTCCAACTGTCCGACAGATGTTACAAACTTCCAAGTCAAACTAAACAGTTATCGCCTGCGCAAGTAGAAAACGAAAACGTCGCTCGTAATAGCATCGTAAACTGCTTTTCATTTTAATGCTTGCGTCGTTTAATTTAGTTTTTATTTCTCTTTTTGCTTCCATTTCTCGATTTGAATGCGCGGAACTTGTCACATTTTCAATGCTAATGCCTCCAATGAAAAATGTCATCGTTTTCTTTTATATTTTGCTCTTGAGATGAGAGAAACATGAATGAAAGTAAATTTTTGCGCTGATTTTTCAAAACGTGTGCTTTTCACGCATGCGTGCAGAGAATGGTAAATTATTATTCATGTATGCGAGTACAGAGAATAGTGAGATAACTAATGCCGCGAGATGCAAGCTGCAAGTTGCAAGAATCGCAAGTAGAGTAACGGTAACAAGCTGACTTCCGGTGATTTAATTTCCTGCATCGATATACTCGCCGACGCGTTTTCATTTTCATTTTATCTTGTCTTGTCAGATAGCAAGCAGAAAACAAGGAAGAAGCAATACAATAAAAATATAACATTAACATCAATATCTTACGAGATGGTTTCTCCGAAATAACTGTAATCAATGATAACTTTCGAATAAAAAGATGAAAGTTTAAATTATCAAACTATTATTGCCAGATTTAGAAATATGAACACATTGTGTAATTTATAATTATCTTTAATTGCCACTTATTGCAGATATTGAACGATTTCCTTGCATATGTGAAGCAAAACAAAAAAACAAAAAATTTTACTTTCACAACTATGTAAATCATGTTCTGCGCAGGTCAAAACGTTGTCAAATCATACTTAAACTTGACAGCGACATGCACACAAACAATTCACAATATTTTATGTGAATTGTTGCTTGAAAAAAAGTGAAAACTCACTTAACTCTTCATAAAATATTTTTTATGTTTTTTTGTGTATATTTAAAGAAAAAAATACCAAAAAACATCAAAAAATAATTTTTTGTGATGAGGTTATGTTTTTTGACAGATTTGACAGTGTATACAACGCCATATAATATTTTTAGGTTATGCACGTGCATAACCTCACACCTGACGGAAACTAATTAGATTAGATTGTACAAATTGATTGCGCAATCAGAGCAATAACGATTACAAGCATTTGTTCACCGTAATTGTATATTATTGCTATATTTGCTTTATTTACGGACATTAAACTTATTCGAAAGAAAAGCGTTTGGTTTTCTCTGCGCACAGCACAGCAGCGTAATTTGTTAAGCGTACGAATGATCTTAATTCATTATAATACGGAAAGTAAAAGTAACGAATGTAAAGTGTATGGTTGTAATTTTCATACGGATTTTTGCGACGTATGACGCGTTTATTACTCCTTTCGATATTTTCATATTGCAGCTCTGATTACGATTACAAGATTCACTTAAAATCGCTCACATTGCTGACTAATGAGATTTGCTTGGTTATGAAATTTTTTAGGTTATGTTGTTTTCCATACAATCATCATTATGCTGTGTGTGTGTTTTTAATCGACACTTTCAAATTGGCAAATTTTACGCAAATCAACGCATGTCACGCGAATGCAATTATAACTGCACTAATAAGTTTTCTTTCCGACAATATATCCAAATACCATTGTGACCAAAATGTGTTTGAACCAACGAATTGAATAATTGAAGTCGGTATAGAAGACGCGCTATGCACTAACTCGCTCATTTCCGGGCGGCGCACGGGCGCGTAATTAGTTTTCGCCGATTGTAAAGTGTCTTTGTCTGTTTTGACTCAAGTTAAGCGGAGTGGGAGATTTTTTCGGTGCGCAAAGAGACGCGAAGGGAAAGTGACAGTTGTATATAAATACGAAGTGTAGCAGCCGCATTGCAAGAACTGATAGCGATAGTGAACGGTGAACATGCGATCAGTAAGTTGAGAATTTATAAAGATTTTGTTTAGAATATTGATGGTACGTCTGTGTGTGGTGTGTTTGTAGGTGTTTTTGGTGATTGGCATCTGCCACCTGCTTCTTGTCGACAGTATTAGAGTCGATAGAAGGCATGACAAGCGAGATGCGGAACACCATCATGACCACCATGATTTTGGAGACTCTGGTAGTCACGGACACGAAGTAGAGGAACACCATGAAGAACACCATCATGAGGAAGACCATGGACCAGCGATTAGTTACCATCATATCGAACACCATGATATAGGGCATCATGAACATGAAGTCAAACATGACTGGAAACCAGTTGAAGAGGAACACCATGAAGAGCACAAAGAAGAAGAACATAAACACGAGGAACACAAGGAGGAAGAACACAAAGAGGAACCACACCATCATGAGAAGATAGTTACAGTCATCAAAGAAGTGAAGGTACCCTATCCAGTAGAGAAAAAGATTCCTGTTCCTGTAGAAAAGAAGGTACCATACCCAGTTGAAGTAAAGGTACCACATCCATACCCAGTTGAGAAAAAGGTACCTGTTCCTTACAAGGTTCAAATTAAGGTACCATACGCCGTCCCAAAACCATACCCAGTTGAAAAAATCGTCAAGGTACCCGTTCACGTCCACGTTGATAAACCATACCCTGTCGAAGTGAAAGTACCAGCCCCCTATCCAGTAGAAAAGAAAATCCCTGTTAAAGTTGAAGTGAAGGTACCAGCTCCTTACCCAGTTGAGAAAAAAGTCCCCTACCCTGTTTATGAACACATCAAAGTCCCAAAACCTTATCCAGTATATAAAGAAATCAAGGTACCCGTAAAAGTTCATGTAGATCACCCGGTACCCGTCCATGTCTACAAACCATACCCTGTCAAAGTAGAGAAAAAGGTCCATGTGCCCTACACGGTGGAGAAACGTTATCCAGTCAAGGTCTACGTGGATAAACCCGTACCATACCATGTGGAGAAGAAAATCCCCTACAAAGTAGAAGTGAAGGTACCCGCACCGTATCCAGTCTACAAAAAAGTAAAAGTGCCCGTCTACAAAGAAGTGCCATATCCAGTGGAGGTAAAAGTAGAGAAACCCGTACCCTACGAGGTCATCAAACATGTACCCTATGAGGTCATTAAGAAGGTACCCAAGTATATCAAGTACCCTGTGTATGTACCAATTCATGAGGAACACCACGAAGAGCATAAACATGAGGAACACCACGAGGAACACCATCATGACTTTCATGATCACAAATGGTAAACCGGTCGACCATAAATGTATCTAGTGATAATCTTCATGGTATTCCACTTTGCAGAGTAGTCCACTACTCTTGTTGTTATATTTTAGAAGTTTCCCATAAAGTCGTTTATATAACAGCAAGATGTACGTGTTTTCTGTGTAAATATGTCTGCAAACCGGAAGTGGCCATGTTGAGAGCAATATTTAGACCATTGGCAATTATAATAATTTATTCATGTTTACTTTAAGCTGTTTTTTTATTGTGAAAATCAAAGATTTGTTTTGTGTTTTTGTGTTTGGATTTGTTTGTAGTTCTGTTTAGTTAATTTGTTGTTATTTTATTTTTTCTATTTTATTATTATAAAAATCACGTACGTTGATGGAAAAGTGGCTTCCGCATTATTTTTTTTGCGCCTGTTTCATTAATCGTTTCGTAAATGAGGCAATAAAAACCAACGCGCTAATGATTATTGCTATTCAAGTTGAGCTGCTGCATAACGGACGTAATGACAGTTTGGTATTGAGGCTGACGCCGTTAACACCGCTAACTTTCCGATAGGAAGAGATCATGTGTTTCATAGTTTCAGTCAGAGTGTAATTATGCTGATATAACTAGAAAAGAGTTGAGAAATAACCGGATAAATAATTTTAGACTAAAAATTATGTGAAAAAGTATCAAAAAGCGGTTTTGCAACAAAAATTATTCTGGATAAAAAATCTGATTTTTAGAAAAAAATTAGAAACATAAAATTTGGATAAAATTTTGGCAATATGAAAATAACCGGTAAAAAACCGGTTTTGTAACAAAAATTATTCTGGATAAAAAACTTAGTTTTTAGAAAAAATTAGATACAAACATTTCTGATAAAATTTTGGCAGTATGAAAATAACCGGTAAAAAACCGGTTTTTACAAAAAAAAAATTTCCGGATAAAAAAAAACCTAATTTTTAGATTAAAATTAGTAACAGAAAATTCGGATAAAATTTTGGCAATATGAAAATAACCGGTAAAAAACCGGATTTTTTAAAGAAAAATTTGATCCGGATAAAAAAAAACCGGACGAAAATTTTTCCCGGCAAAAAAATACGTTTTACAGAATAAAATTGAAAAAATGTATTTTTTAAAAACTTTTTTTGATGACAGAAGTTGAGCCGGATGAAAAAAACCGGATAAAGAAGTTTAACCGATGAAAAACACGTTTTAGACACTAAAAATTACACAAAAAACTTCCGGATAATATTTCTTTAAGTGTAAAAAACAATTTGACTAAATTTTATAAAAAAAAAATTATTTTTCGTTCAAAAAAAACACAAAAAACAAATTTTCCGGATAAATTTTTCATCCGTTATTTTACAACTAATAATTTCATACTTTTCCAAACCAAAACAAAATTAACTTTACTTGCAAATATTACATAACCATTACTTGTTTATAACTTGTTCGTTATTCCACTTCATAACCTATAAAACGATAATAAAAAGATGGCGCACTTTTCATCCGCTCATAAACCGCTTCACATTTATCATTCTTGCCACATTAATTGTACAGAAATTAATCAGATCATAACCATCACAATATCACAATCAAAATGTTTTAATTATATCTGTATTAGTATTATATAAAAACGCTATTTGCATGGCATGGCGTTGCATTGCGTTGCAAAACATGTGCAACACATTATAACTCGCTCCACAGACGAATGCAACACAATGCGCGTGCAGATAAAGTAACTCGCGCATGCGTTGCATAACGCGTGCTATACATGAATGTTTGATTTAATTACAATTGCTTTCTTTACTAGTCGTAGATAAAAATAAAAACACATTTATCTCGGGTATTGGAGCAAGGAAAAAATTAAAATTTAAAATTTTTACTTTCTTTACCAACGTGTTTAGTAAATTGTGTAATATCGTTACCGAAATTAATTGTTTCAATTAATAATTTAGTGTGTTTAATAGTTTAGCGTGGTTAAAAGTGAGTTTGATGATGATAACTTTCGAGGAAGGGTCTCGCTTGAGGTGATCAAACCGTGTCGCTTCTTCGCGTCTGCGCGCGCGGGTGGGGATGGCGAAAGTTTCGCGTTTTGTTCGGCCATAATGCCATCTTGGATGGGCAAAGTGCAAAAAGTGGGCAATTTCGTATATAAGACGGCGTTGCATCGTCATTAGAGACACATATCATCGACCGCACTTGTTATTATCGGTTTTGTGTGTGCAATGAGACTAAATGTAAGTATTTCAACCACAAAACCACAAAACTGCATAAAAACTCATCATACGTGAATATAATAGATGGATATACAGAGTGTTCAAGTGTATTGTGTGAAAAATCAACTATTATGTAACAAAAACATAAAAAAACATAAAAAGAAGTGAAACTGCGGAAATATTACGTAACTTCTTTTACTTTTATACTTTTAGGGATACTTGGCGCTCGCTGCGCTTTTGCTGGTAACCACACTAGCAAAAGAAGATGACCAACAATCAGAACCAACACAAAAACAAGCAGAAAACTCAAAATCCTCCGAGGAAACTGTTGAAGAATCAAAAAACCTGTGGCTGAAGCACTCAAAGGTAAAGAAAAACGTGGATTAGAACACTACGGCGGCCATCATGATTTTGGAGGTGACCATGGAGGTGGAGGAGGAGGAGGTGACCATCATGTGAAAACCGTGACCGTCGTCAAAAAAATCCCTGTCCCTTATCCCGTAGAGAAAAAAATCCCATACCCAGTAGAAAAAAACGTTCCATATCCAGTAGAAGTGAAGGTACCACATCCCTACCCAGTAGAGAAGAAGATCCCTGTTCCGGTAAGAATCGAAATCAAAGTACCCGTCCCAGTACCCAAGCCTTATCCCGTAGAAAAACCTGTGCATTACCCTGTTAAGGTCCACGTTGATAAACCCTACCCTGTGAAGGTCCTGGTACCCCAACCTTATCCCGTAGAGAAAAAAATCCCTGTCCCTGTTAAGGTCTTCATCCCAGCTCCTTACCCAGTAGAGAAAAAGATTCATGTTCCTGTGAAGATACCAGTCCATGTTCCTAAACCCTATCCAGTTGAGAAGATTGTCCCTGTTCCTGTGAAGGTCCCAGTTGATAGACCTTACGCCGTACATGTCCCTAAACCCTATCCAGTGCATGTTGTGAAGAAGATACCCTACCACGTCGAGAAACCCGTACCATACCCAGTGAAGGTTCATGTATCAAGACCTGTTCCCTATGAAGTGATAAAACCCTATCCTGTTCCTGTGAAGGTACCTATACCTGCTCCCTATCCAGTAGAGAAAAAGGAACCTTATCATATTGAGAAACCAGTACCTTATCCAGTGAAGGTACCAGTTGAGAACCCTGTTCCTTACGAGGTAGTAAAAAAGGTCCCCTATGTGGTTGAAAAGAAGGTACCCTATGAAGTGAAGGTACCTGTGCATGTTCCTGTCCATGAAGAACCACATCACGTACCAGAACACCATGAAATCAGTGCTGGTGGCGGAGGAGGACATGAATTAGAAGGTCATGACTTTGGAGGTGGGCATGACATATCCGGAGGTGGAGGTCATGAATACCCTGATCATGGAGGTTATGAATCTGAAGGTGCGGGACATGATTATGGCGGAGGTCATGAAACCGGCGGACATGATTTCGGTGGCGACTATGGCGGTGAGGCACACCACTAAACTTGATTTTACTCTTGTATTATGTATATATGTTTTTAACGTTAAATGTTGACTTGTTTGGTTTTTAAATAAATAATTTTAACACTTACCTTAGATATGGTATGTTTGCTGGCACATGGTACTTCGCACCGGGGTCGAAATCCATTTCAGAACGCAGCACAGGTGGTTTTATACCGGTATACTCCTCTCTGTAAACATAACCTGCATAAATAACTATTTTTACATGTTTAACCTCAAATTTTACCTGATTCGCCACCATTCGCAGTTGTATTGATCTTTATTAATCTCTCCTTTGAAGATGGAATACCTCCACTTGTCCATGGCGTACGCAAAAGGTAGGAAAGCAATTTTATCAAGTGCCATTTGATATAAGTAGTTTATATCGACAGCGCCGTCATCTACAGAGTTCTGTAATAGTCCTAGTACTTGTAGATGGCGCGGCGTGCCTACAGATAAACCTATTGCTTCACCAATCGCCTCGTGAAAACCTAAAACAAAAGTTTTCAATTGTAAAAATAACTTTCACTGCTTTTCTAGTTTCCAACACACTCGCAATCGATCACCATATGGCTCATGTCTCATTATTGCAGCACTTGTGAATGTAAATTCAAAATTTGTAATTAAAATGTTACTTGCCTGGATTCGCACCGTCGCGGAACACTTTCGGTTGATTTCTATAATTGATGAAGTAATGTATGTGCGCCATTTCATGGTGGGCGGTTATCAAATCCTTCATTGTTATTTTCGTACACATTTTTATTCTAAAACCAATATAAATGTTAATAAATGTTAATAGTGAAGAATCCCGGTCTAAAGTGAATAATACACGTGTTTTTTGCATTATAGACCGGGATTCTTATCATTTTGCATTTACCTAAAGTCACGACTGTTACAAAAGTCCCAAGCACTCGGTTGACACACCGCCACACGGTCTTGAGGTTCTTCTAAGATGGAACTCGCCCAGAAATCATTGGGAAGTGGTGTCATGTTCATTGAAACAAAGAAATCTTCTGCCAGACGAAAGATGTCCACTGGTGCATAACCCTAATGATAAAAATTTGATTAGTTTATTAATATTTAATCAACTTCCGGTTGTTTTTGGGTTGCATACTTGTCTAATCATTTCCGGTCCGACATCTAAATAATTCCGGCCTGGATATGGCTGTGAAATCTCAAATATATTCGTCCAGGATTGTGCCCACATGTTACCCAAAATATGAGCCGGAAGTGGTGCTTGTCTATTGATCTTTTCCGGTCCGTAGAAGTCCCTCAATCGCCTGCGTACATAAGCGTGTAATAACTCATAAAGCGGTTTGATCTCTTCCCATGCGTCTTCTAGATCCAAGTTTAAGCTTGGGGATTCAAACGGGAAGTTCCAATATTCCGCAGTGTCACTAAAATCTAAACACGGATGTAAAATTTACAAAATGGCGATTTTTGAACAAATTTTGATCAAATTTGCTTACTGTTGAGTCGTGCGGCTTCATTTGATAAATGTACTAATTGTTCATAGCTTTCTTTGACGTGGTGGCCTGTTTGCCGCCTCCATTCAGTCCAAACGTGTTGTAATTCTTCCCAGTTCCGGCTGTTCGCCATTATGTGTGACAAATCTGGTTGCAGACGTAATCCGCATCGGAATGGCTCGTTGAGGGCGCAAATTGATGCCTGATTGTAGACTGATAGCATGTCGTTGATCAAACGATTGTACTAAAAGCAATCAGATTAGTATCAGGATGAATTTGTTTGTAGATAAAGGAGATTTATGAAAAAGATTTGTTTATACCCGATCGAGTTGATCTGGTGGCAGTGCTGCTGGCCCCACGACGCTCATAAATCGTATCTGGCGATAAGTTGTAATGTCGGGGATGTTGGCGTTACGGACACGAGTGAACAGCTCCCAGACGCCGTGTTGAAAATCGGAATATAATTGCTGAGCGTTTAACTGAAAATGAAACATTTTTGTAAGTATACTTCAAATTTTACGTATATCTGGTTGCCTATATGTAGAGTGAACATATTGTGCAGTGTCGACGGTTAGTGTTTATAAAAATTGAGTTTTAACTAAGAAAAAACACAATGTCAGTGTGGTAACTTGTTGTAGTAAGTAACACATTCAATTCTTTTCAATTTGATATATAATTTGATATGGCCACTTGGTTAATTCAAACATAATCAGTAGATTTATTAATTTGAATTGGTTAACCTTCAAAAAAGCAAGAGTGTGCAGAGTACAAATGAAAATCGAGTTTTATCGATAAAAACGAACAGTGGCACTGTTGTAAGTATTAAAAATTATAAAACAATCATATAATATATATTCCTAGATATCAATAAGCATGTATATTGATCTAATTAGAAAATAATCATCAATTTTGTTCATTGAACATCTGTACAACTCAGCTGCTGTGCATAGGTGTATTAAAAGTTGCCTACGTTCTTTTTACAGTGTTAGCAATCTTCAACCGCTTCGTGTCCAGTCCAAAACAAGGTTTCGCTGTGAAAATCAACAACAAACAAAAGGTAAGTGTTCAAATTCGATAGATACAACATTCTGCTTGTTCCAATATATAAATATACATGCGCACTCATGTGATTTCAAAATAATCTTAAGATTATAATATGCATATTCATCTAACCTCAAAAATTTTCAAGTTTTAAAAATTTGCGCACGGACATAACTAGTGTAACACAAGTTGCCTATATAGTTATGGTTATATAATGATTCAAACAAATCTAAAATCAGCCACCAGTTACGAGTTACGACAAAATTAAAAACAATTAACAGAAAAGTGTTTCAATTAAACGCTGCGCGAGCGTGTTCCCATAACATGTTTGCATTCAGTCGAAGAACAGCCAAAGGTTACACGATTGCGCATACGTCCTTTACATCTTGTTAGAAATAAGAAGTTAGACGTGCAAAACACACCAACTTCATCATAACTCACATTTTTATTGCATAAATGAAAAACTTTTAATTGTCTACGTTTTGGTATGAAAATACCTGCTTAAAAACATGGATTTTTTCCACATCATTGATCAATGTCAGAGAAAATCCACGATATTTTAATTATATGCAGATTAATTATTTATTTAATTTGAATCAAAACAAAGGAAAGAGTAATTATGTTAATTATTTCAACGTGGAGTTAGTGTTGATGTTATTATTGCAATTGGAGACGCTGCGATGCAGGAAAATGTTACACAACGAGGAAACTAGTTGTTTTTTACTTTATAAGTCCATGCGGATGTGACTTAAGTCATATTCTGTGCGTTAGGATTTGTTTTATTAGCTTTTACTTGCGTTAATATTTTTTTTTTCATTACTTGAGAGTGATCTTCTGGTTCAAAAATTGTAATATTCAAATTTGCGTAAACGTGGCTTACAATTTTTTTTATAAACATATTTTAAACACCCTGTAAGTTATATTTTTAAAACAAAAAGTAGCTTATGTTATTCTCCTGGGTCTTTTACATCTCCAAACCAAAATTTATTAAAATCGACTGAGTAGTTTTTTCTACAAAGCGTCACAAACAAACTTTTGCATTTAAAATGTTCAAATTTTGGTTAAAATTAACGTCGTACATCTTTTTGGGTAAATATAATTTATCCAACATAAAATGAAACAAAATAAAATATACAAGGACAAATTATTTAGAAAAAAAGGTGCGCCACTTAAGCAAATATGCAAATAACACACATAAGTGTGGTTTATGCATCTGTAGAATATCGAGATGCATTCATTACCAAACTCACACATCTCCATCATTTTATGTTTCTCTCCTGCGTATGGTTGAGTAACATATTGTTTCATGCACGCTGTGGTTTCACCAGGGGCGTAGCTACCGCCGTATTTGCCGTATCAATTATACGGGGTCCCCGGGCCACGGGGGCCCCCAAAGTGTGTAAGGAAAAACCTTTACCATCATATAAGGGCCTCCAAAAAAAATTTTATACGGGGCCCCGACAAGGCACGCTACGCCGCTGGGTTTCACCTGCTTAACATTGTTTATTATGTCGTCGAAGAAAACAAAAAATCATCTGGTTCATTAGTTATGCACGTGGATGACGCACACCGAGATGCATTACGCTTGCATAATGTGTGAGATTGTGAGATACTTCGTCGCGGAATGCGAAATTAATGCGACTGATGAAAAGCGCGCTTGAATTTGATTAAAGCATAAACGCGAATTAAATTTCCATTTACGGCGAATTACGCGTATTGTCAATCAGCAGTAAGTAATAATCTAATATCTTCCATTTGAAATTATTCTGTTTTTCCTACTTATGCGGAGTTGTTTGTTGGTTTCAAGTACTTTCAAGTGATTTAGGTGTTTTCTGCTAAATCATTGTATAACATGAAAATTTTTATTATTGCATCAGGATATTGTGAGACAGATGAGACGAATTTAAATTTTAAGCGATCACGTTTTCCTACGAGTATTGCGGTTTTGTTTGATGTTGTAATAAACGAGAAGTTTGTGGACAGTGGTCACAAAGAATTTCAAAATTTTGCAGCCATAAATTTCGGTTTTACGAAAATATTACAAGAACAATCATGACTTGTGTGTGTTAGTCATGCAATTCTCTTGCTTAAAATTCACACCACGTTTTCCTGATATTACAAATCATTTAAGAGTATGAGTAATGTTAACTTATGAGTAAAAATTATGTTTTTGGGTAGTGTTTAGTCCAATTGTTAAGTTATGACTGTCCAATTGACTAAAAATCATATTTTTGGCAGTATTTAGTCGAGTTATTTAGTAACATGGAAAAATTAGTTAAGTTATGACTCTACTTGATTGAAAATACAATTTTAGTCAAAAATTTAGTCAAGTTGGTAAGTTATCACTGTCCACTTGACTAAAATTTATTTTTTTAGTTAGTATTTAGTCCAGTGGTTAACTTATTACTGTCCAATTGACTAAAAATCATATTTTTCGCTAGTATTTGGTGAAGTTATTTAGTAAGATGGGAAAATTAATTAAGTTATGGCTCTATTTGACTAAAAATACGATTTTATACAAAAATTTAGTCGAGTTGGTAAGTTATAACTGTCCACTTGACTAAAATTTATTTTTTTGGTTAGTATTCAGTCTAGTTATTAAATTATGACTGTCTATTTGCCCAAAAGTCTTATTTTTGGTTAGTATTCAGTCGAGTTAATTAGTTCCTCGACTAAAAATACGATTTTAGTCAAAAATTTAGTCGAGTAAGTCGAGTAACTTAGAAAAATTATGTTTTTATGTTGAAACTAAGCACTAAGTCATAGACATGTTCATATAATCGGCCACGACCTGCAATAACAACTGCAACGTTGTGATAACACGCGCAGAAGTTGAAACCGACCCTAACACATTCCTATGCAAAGCACAACGCAAAAAGTATGTCATTAACCATGTAAAACATAAAAAATTCATGCGTCTAATAACTGAATTTAAGCCTTTTTGATTTAATGATCTTCGTGATCAGTCAAATTTCAAATTTATGAGAATTCCCATTGTTTAAGACTCTTGTTAAATCTATGGAATCAAAAGAGTTCTTTTTGCAATTAATATATTCACGGTCATTCTCAGTATTGTCAACCTCTTAAAAATTAAATTAAATTATATTCAAATACAAAAAATAATAAAAATGCTGGTTACAGGTCAAAATTATGATAAAAAACTTTCTATTTTCATTTTGAGCCGAAAACAAAACAAATTGTACCTGTATCGAGTAGATACAGATACAGTCATGTATTGGGTAATTTTTGACTCTAATTGATTTTAATTTACATTTACGTTATCAAATGCAGCGGCTGTTAATTGCTACCATTAAAACTAAGCGCTCTGTACTTGTGCTCGTACTAAAACGTGTTGTGCAACGCGCACCTGTGAAACCGCAGGCCCTGAACCCATATAGAAATAGATGTCTTTCTAGGCGAATATATTTTTTATTTGACTTTTTTCATTTCATTGCATTTCGCTTCTATGCGCGCGTGTCGCGTTGAAACGAAGCTATGAAACCTGCGTTGCGTTATTGCAGCAAGTACAAAGAACGAGGCAAACTTGGCCCAGTTCTCTCGTTTATACAATTAAAACTCAACGAAACAAAAGAAGAAGACAATAACTTCACTCAGTACTAGCTTACCAGTAAGTATTTGACTTAAGTATTGATAAGTTAAGCTAAACATTGATAGTTTTCTTTTTAAAACAAACTTTAAAGTGTTTTATGGCTAAATTACTTAACTTAACTTAACTTAAATTGTAAATGACTTAAGGGTGTTCCAAAGTCATTAAGACACTTGATTAATGATAATCTGAATAACCTAATCGCGGAAAACATTTTCATTGTCAACATAACCCGCCGGCAAGTTCAACAAGGTGAACTTTCGATTTTTTGTCTGTGAATTCACACAATTAACCAAAAATTGACAGTAAAACCGCTTGCATAACAATAACTAAACACGCGTTTTGTTGTTGATTGTTATTTTGGGTCTACACTCGCGTCTAGCCTACAGAAAACCATTGTCTTTGAATGTTTGACATGTTTTCAGCTAAATGTAAGTTATTTCAAATTTAGCCATTAAGTTATCATCACGTAATAACATTTTTTTTTTAAGTTTTAATCAAGGAAGAGATTGTTGAATCATGACAAATCACAGAGAATGATTGATGTGATGTCTAAGTAGACTTAATATAATTTTATGTCCATCGAAAACATTAACACGATGCACATTCGAGTAATATAATATTTTACGTTTTGTTTGTTTCCATAAACCACACCCAAGTTAAATAATCGCACTAATTGTTTCTTAATAACCTGTTATATAAGAATCACAAAGAGCAGAAGGAACTAGCATTGAAAAAAGCTTGAAATTTTTAAGGACGAAACAACAATGAGTGTGTTACATCATGAAAATCATGATCGATGCATTCTGCTAATCGTTTGCAAATCGTAAACTGTTTCACGTCGCGTTGTACGAGTTGGTTATTTAAATTAGTTCGCGGAACTACTGTCCGTCAATAATGATGTTATATATAGTCTTAACAATGTTTATTGTTTATTGCAATTTTATATTGTTATTAATGAGTTTTTTAGAGGTAATAATATGGTTTTGAGCTGCAGGGCATCAATTTCGGTAGTAAAATGTTTTGGTTTAGTGTTACTGTCAAGTTTACTGTCCATTTATTGGTCAGTAAGTTGATGATTGTAGAGTATTTAATTATAGTGTGAATAATGCACAATTTAGTCACTAAATTGCTCATTTTATATAATTTATTGCAATTCAGATCATATTTATGACTTGTAAATGTAAATTTTTGTGTTTTGGCGATTTTACTGTTGATTTTACTAACTAACAAGTTGGTCATTGCAGAATATTTAATTATAGTGTGAATAATGCAAAAATTAGTCACTAAATTGCTCTAAAAGATATATTTACTCATTTTTCTTGCAATTTTATATTGTTATTAAATAACAAGAGATTTTTTAACATTCAGATCATATTTTTGACTTAAAAATGTTTAATTTTTATGTTTTTGGCTAACTTACTGTTGATTTTATTAACTAAATTAGTCTCTTAAATGCTCTAAAAGATAGATTTAATCATTTTTATTGCAATTTCATTCTGTTATTAAGTAACAATACGTTTTTTAAGTCAAATCAAATTTTTGTCCATTTTACTGCCCGTTTTACTAAATAACAACCTAATCATTGAAGAATATTTAATCATAGGTGTGAATAATACTAAAATTACTCATAAAATTGATCTACAAGATAAAAAATCTAATAATTCATGTAATTATTAATGCTCAATGATTATTAAGTCAATATATTCCAATAATGTCCAGGCAATTAGTTGATTACCGCCGAGAAGCAACAATTACGATCATCATCGATCCACTAACAGCCTCTAGGCAAGACAACACCTCATAAATATTACCAAAGTGTTTAAATTGATTTATATTACTCGCACTTAGTTTTCATACACCTGCACAGTGACAAAACTAACAAACTAACAATTTGATGTCTCATACAAAATTGCATTTAATGACATATTGTTACTCCTGTAACTACAGGAATTCATTAATAATAATTACATATACATACTCTGACAGCTGAGATTAAATACTAAACACTAAACACAATTCCTAGAAGAATTAAATTCAATTGACGGATGAATAGTCCGGAACATATAAATCCTCGTAAATTGAAAGCGAAGTTTACTATAAAAAGGGAAAACGTGAAATGGCGGAAAAAAGCCAGATGAAAACGTGGGAATTCATTAATTACGCCTGCAGCAAGACAATACCACGTGAGACTTGAAATTCTATGCATTATGCACTTTATAAACAATCGTTTTGTGTTGTTTTTACATGATTCAATCATAATTAACCGTCTCTACTGTCCCTTTTACTTACCGCTTCAAGTTGTGTGACTTGATTGACATTCGTCTCGAAGTTCCACTGCGCTGCCACATTACTCGTGCATTGTTGCGATGATTGCAGGTCTAGAGCTTGCAATAATTGTCGTATATCACCACGGTAACTATTTTCATATCGTGGATCTTCCTGGCGAAAATTCGGATCATTCACACGTTGAGGATTTTGATCATAGCGTGGCTGATCCTGACGTTCGTTGTAGTTTAAATTCCGATCGAAATTTGTGTTTCGATCGTATGTATCCCGATCATAACTATCGCTTCGGTCATAGTTAAAATAACTCGGATTATTTGTGTCTTGCGGGTTATTATTGGCGATATTACCGGTATTTCCGGCGTTAGAAAATTGCACGCGATTGTTCTGATCGAAATCTAATTGCGCTTCTGATGCGACACTAAGGATTATTGTGAATAACACGAACACGATGGATTTACGCGAATGGCTTATGTCACACATGATTTTAAAATATTTTTAAAAATTATGTTTGAGTTAATTTTTTATGGATTAAGCGTGCATGTTGGTTGATGAAGCGACGAACATACACTGATCGGTTGAATGTGCGCGGTGCATATAATATGATAAATCAGCGGCTGAAAAAAAAATGGGTGGATGTATGTTTATGTTTGTTGTGTCGGTAATTGCTGATGTGTGTATGAGCAGGTGAGTAGTGGTGGTGGTTACGCTCATACGTGGGAACCTGTGTAATTTGTTTACGAGTGCGTTGTGGGAGGAGGCGGAGGGTCTTTGCCAGGCGTGGAAGTTTTGAGTTATGCAGTCGGCTGGAAGACAAATGAAAAAAATGACTGACTCTTCGACATGAGTTATGCTGTGTTGTTTTGTTATAAATTGTTGTTATATCACTGTTTTTACACGGCGTCTGAAGGTCTGACCTCAGACGTGTCCACGATGTCCAGTATCTCGTCATTGGCTTTCTCACTGTAGCAATTGTTACAACATTTAACTGAAATAGTTTTTTTTTTCTTTCTATAACTAAACTGTTTGTTTTTCTGTCTGATTTAGTAGTAGACACTTAGATTTGCATTTTTATGTAATTCACGTTTTTGCACAATATTTGGCATTGCATCGGCATTGAATTAGCGAAAAGTTTGTAATTTACAAGCGGGGAGAACAATGATCAGTATTACAGTCGTATTGGGTAACACTTGATATGTGAGAGTATTGAGTGCGAGTATTCAAAGTTAAGTTAATTGTTGAAAGCTGAGAGTGCGAGTCTTGCAAGGTTGGCGGTGCTGATAAGAACATAAAGGATGAAAGTGTTTTCGTGTTTCCGATCATTGGATTACTAGAGTTGGAAAACAATGAGGTGTTTTGATGCGTTGTGAAATTGATAGCAGATAATAATTAGTTATATGTTTAATTAATTTTGGAGAGTGATAATTGTAGTCGAAATACGGATGAAAGGAATTTTTTCTTTATAAATTATTTTTTAGATCTTAGATTTTAATGTAACTTAAATTTAAAATTCATTTGAAAGAGAATTTTTCGTTGATTAATAATTTTTAATACATTCGATTCTATCACTTTTAGTTTAAAAGATATTCGCTACCGAATAACTTGGGTGACGGTAGAAGTGACTCGTGTTCAGGGCACCGTACGAGGGTTGCCGGTACAAGAGACTCATCTTCTTCAGGGTACCGTACGAATCATCTGCGTATTTACCCTCGTACGGTGCACTGAATAGGAGTCACTTCTACCGCTGCCTTCGTACGGTGCTCCGAACACGAGTCACATGTACCGCTGTCCTTGTATGGTGCTCCGAACACGAGTCACTTCTACCGCTACCCTTCTACGTTGCCCTGAATGGGAGTCACTTCTACCGCTTCCTTCGTAAGGTATCTCGAAGACGAGTCACTTCTACCGCTACTCTCGTACGGTGCCTTGAATGAGAGTCACTTCTACCGCTACCCTCGTACGGTGCATTGAATGAGAGTCACTTTTACCGCTTCCTTCCTATGGTGCCCTGAATACGAGTCACTTTTACCGTCAGCTAAATAGGGGATAAGGGAAATTCTATCTCTTTTAGTTTATTGTAGTTCAGTTATTTAAAATCTAAATATCGAGGAAAATTAAAATGACTGCTAGCATTCCTTCAGTGCCTACCTAGAACTGAGTATTACACTTTCCCTATATCAGTTTAGAATAGTTTATTAATCAAATACAAATACAAAATTACATGCACTACTATTCCATTGATTTCTCTTGTTTTGTTTGATGGCACACTAAAGACAACAAAATAACAATTTATAACAGTCATATTTAATCTACAAACATTTCAGTCTATAAAAAAAGAGTCTCACCTTTTGTACTTTTAATCCATCCGATTGGAATGTTCAGTTTCTCAATCTCATCTTCCAGCCACATCTGCACAGGTTTATAATACTCCATTATTGCACTGGAATCTAAATAATTTTGACCAGTTAAAACATGCAGAGCTTCCACCCACGGTTTAGATGAACCCAAACGCAACATAGCCCTTAAAATAATAAAAAAGTAAATCAAACAATTATAATCTCCTAAAATAATTGATCAACTAAAAATATTATTTACTTTAAATCATTTCCAGCGGTAACACTTCCATAAAAATCACATTTATACAACTCTTTTCCAAAAACATGCGGCACATATTCATTGGATTTGAGGCACATAGCTCTGTAGAATTGATATTCCAGAATTTTCCCAGCAAAATACCTAATAAAATCATCATAATTTAAAAACAAACAAAAATAATAACAAAAAATATTCACCTAATATATGGAACATTTGATACCAGGTTATAATCCGTAGATATATCAAAACCATTACTTGATCGGTCTGTAGGAGCCTCCAATCCTTGTATATCTTCAACAATTTTCCGCCACTTACAATTATAATCAGCCTCTGTAATATTCCCGTTAAAAACATCCCAACGCCACGTGTCCACTGCATACGCAAATGTCATAAATGGCAATGTTTGCAACAACATCTAAAAACTCACGAATTATTACATAATAACATAATAAATACAATATTTATATATTTACATAAAATGCATTATTCATGTGTGCTTCTTCACTCAATTCAGAACTCGTCAGATTAATACTCTTCGCATGTCTCAGTGACATGAAAGACAGCGCAATTGAATTACCCACTGCCTCACCAAATGCTTCATTAGCCCAATTGCGATAAACTTGCGGTAAATCTCCAAACTGTAGAAAATATTCAATGCGACCTATATCTCTGTGAGCCTGTCGTAAACCTTCTCGGGAAATTTTCACGCATGTTTTTATTCTGGGATCATCCGGTTCGATATCGTACGCTTTTTCTACGCAAGACATTTCGCCGTCTTTGGGTTTCTGGAAAACTGAATGATTCCAGAATAATTCGGGTAATTCACTCATGTTTAAGGAGACGTAGAAATCCTCAGCTAGTTTTAATACTTTTTCTGTATCATAATTCTGAAAGAAAAGAAATATTTATCAACAAAAATGTATTAATTATTGATTGTATTTTTTCTATTTCCACTTTTAAAGCGTCTGTTTTTTTACGGTTTTGAGACACAAAATGTTGTACTTTAAACACGGACGGCCAAAGACGTGACTAAAGTACTTTATTTATTACTTTCTTTGGCGAATACGTAATCCATTTTATTTGAAAATATTTATTTATTATAATTTTACGTGATTTTTGGATTTTACAATTTGTATTTGAGTTGACATGTTTCGCCCAGAGGGCATCTTCATAAACAGAGTAAATAAATATTTTTAAAGTACTTTAGTTACGGATTTTAGTCATAGGATAGACCTTGCGCCTACGCATTTGCCTCAACATAGATATAAAGTGAAAGTAGAAAAAATAGCGTAAGCATAACGTGACTAAAAGTTGTTAAACACTCGATTGATTAAACTATAATCAATCTCGTGACAAAAACTGCCGTTTAACAACTTGTTACTTAATATACCTGTTAAATTACCTGTTTGATTATTTCTTGATCATAATCCACATCTGCAACCTCAGGAAATGGTTTAACTAATTGATACAGATGTTCAAAAGAATCTCCATGTAATCCACCAGTAAGATGAATAGGAATCGGTCCATTTTTACTCACAACTTCGCCGTATTTCACGCGTAGCTTATATCTTACGTAAGAGTGTAATAGAGCGTAGAGCATTTTAATATCTTTGTATAAATTTTGTGCGGTTAATTTAAACTTGGAATCTTCGTAAGTTGATAACCATTCGTCGCCAGCGTCAGCGAATCCGTTCAATTTTGCGCTGTCATTAATTATTTCCACGGATTCTTTGTACAAGGGTTTTGTTTTCTCGCCGACAAGTCGCACGTATTCGTTGTAGGTGTGCTGGAGTTCGTTTTGGTTGCTGCTAGTTGCCAAAACATGCTTAATATCTAAAAATATATGGAAAAAAGTTTGTTTAAAAGAAAACTATTAAGTAAAAGAGCATTTTTTTCGATTTGTAGATAAGGTTATGTTGTTTGACAGTATTTGACAGTTGAGGTATAAACTAACGCCACTTATGAAACGATTCTTTAGGAAAAACGTGCTTAATAGCTAGAAATATTTGAAAAAATCTAAGAAATATTCTTTAAAATGCAGAAAAAAGTCATAAAAACTTGCATTTTTGAATTCTGGATAAGGTTATGTTGTTTGACAACTTGGGGACAATAAACTACCGCCACCTATGAACCATTTTAACCACTAACCTGGATCCAATGTTATTTCCGCTTTAACCGGATCCTCAAACGATGGTATTTTCGTATTATTAAGAATATCTCTCATTTCATACGTCAGTTTCATCAATTTTTTATATTGACTCTCCGGAAGGGCTTCAATTCCTAGGTTAGAACGTAACCAAAACTGACGTTTGACATCCGCGTCCTTATAAGTCCTCCAATTGAAACTTTTCGTTTCATTCCACAATTCCTTCGTGCGTTTCATTCCTTCTGTTATGGCAGTATACTAAATTTAAAAAAAAAAACTGTATTTTTAAATTTTTTAGTATGTTTATTTCTTACCATAGCTTTACGATTGATTTTCGTCATATTCGTGTCATAGTTAAACGTGGCAAGTAAACTTTTCTTTCGTAACTCTTTGACCTCGGCGTCCATATACCTTAGAAAATCGATCGCACGAATTTCTTCCTCTTCCAATTCTGGATCAGCTGATAATGTCATCGTTATCAACATTATCACCATCAGTAAAAAACTCATCAATATAAAATTACATTTAATACGAAACATTTTAAACGGAAGTTTCGTATTAAATCACCAAACAAATTATTTTAATGACAACAATCCACTTGCAAAATTGTCTCAATTATAATTTCATGACTTTATATTACTTTATAATCATCACGAGTTAAATTTAAAACAATTTTTAACCAATAATTCAACTGAAAGTTGCTAAAAAGAAATGTGATATGAAAGTCACACATAAATATAATATTTTACGATGTTTGATTTAGCATACCTGTGATTTGTGCAAACAAAAACCGGATCTCGACACGAAAAGTATCCGATTCACACACGACTTAACGCGCGCTCGCTAAAAACGCTACTGAATCTCGCCGTCCACGCCGCACTATAAACAAAAGAGGTAGTTTTTGCGCTCGACAACTTGTGAACAGGCAGATGACTAACAAATGACTGCCGCGGAACAAGAATATAACTGTTCACACTCACAATACTCACAATATCCACGATATTCGCGAGTCTTACTGTTTACAAAAACAAGGAAGCTGTATTAATGTATTAACGCAGGTATATCTTCGAATGTGTCGTGTGGTTATGACTCAGTAAACCTGTATCATAAACAATCCACAGTATGATTAGATGAAATCATCACTGCTAAGTTTTTCATCGACTTTATTCAGTTGTATTTAGTATTTATTGGATTTGGAATATTTTCTCATCCAACTGTATTGTGTTTGTATATATTTCGTGTTCAATTTGGTCGCGCACCACGAAGGTCAAGGATTCCGCCGACCGTGATAAATAAAACACGTCGGGTTTTTTAGTTTGAGTTGCTTTGGTGTTGGGTTGGATATGTGTGATTTTTTATGCATGATTGATATCGATCCGAATTGTTATACACGTGAGACTTGGATCGATCGTGAAATTGTGGTCTAGTTGCCTAAAAAGTTTGAATTTTGAAGGTTTTAGTGACATCTGACGGTAAGAAACTGAAGTAATTTTAAAAGTAGGTAATTTTAGGTCATAATAAATGGAATTATTCAGTTTTTAAACATTTTATGATTAAATTAAATTAAGGAATATTAATGTTTTTTGATGATAAATTTATATAAAAACTGTAAATTTGCTTAAAAATTTAAATTTTTAATCTTGTAGTGACTTCTAGCGGTGAATTATTGAACTATTTTTAAAATATTTAATTTTTAACTCATTTTCAAGCCAATAATAACATTTTAACACATTTTATTACAAAATCTAAAATTAAAACAATATTTTATTTAGTTTAATTTAATTTTTGACTAATTTTATACCAAATAACATAAAGTTGTGGTTCGTATCTCAGCTAAATAAGTATACTTGGTAGTTCTGCTACTTTCCGCTTGTTTCTCTGCGCATTTCGCAGGAATTGATGGCATTCATCGAACATAGCACATAGTGGGAGTGTGTTTGGCCGTGGCTGGCCGTATACCTAACCTCTCCGGCGTTAATGTTTATTATTCGCTCGCTGCGACCGCGTCGTGTGTTTTGCTCGCCATCGACTCCTCTCGCGTTTCGACACTCAGCGCGCTTGTGATTGCGTCCAGTGCGAAAACACAACACGTCTTTCTCCACCACAAATTGCGCAGGCAAATTTTTCGCGTCGATACATCAGCACAATGCATTCGCGCAGCGTACTTGTTGCTAAACAAAAGTGTCGTTAGTGCACATACGCATCTTACACCTACACAGGTTGCAGTCGCATCAGTTACACCTGAACCTACAATGTGTGTATGAGTGAGTGAACAGTGCAGTGATTGTTTCTTTTGGGATCTATTCGTGGTGGATATTCACACATTTTGACGATGAATTCGCGGGCGGTGCACTTGCAACCCTATCTGAACAATTCGCTGGCGATTCGGCAAGAGATTCAGCGCTTCGAGAGTGTGCATCCTTCGATCTACGCGATCTACGACCTGATCGAACTCATTCCGGACGGATTAGTTGCACAACAGATACGTGATCACGTCGTGTGCATTGAAGGTAATCAGAAAATGTTGAATAAATTATGTGCGGTGCACTTGTTTCGTATGTTGGTCATTTCAAGTTCAATGTTACACCGCATGCGGTGAGGTGGGGTCTCCTATACCTGTACTACCTGTATATGTGTAGATATGGTGTGAGGTTGCGAATGTTGATGACTTTTCTCTTTTCGGTGGTCTTTCTATCGGCGGCGTGTTCCGCGAAGTGTGCCATCTGACCAGAAGACAACTTTCCATTCACTTCGTTCTTTGAATCGCTTTGAATCAATTTGTATTCGCAAAGTCATAAATTTTATTTATTTATTTATTTCCTAGATTAACTCTATTTTTATATTAACCTTGTATCTGGGATTAGTTAAATTACATAGCGCCCTTAAAATATTCGTCGAAATTCAAGTCCAAGGCAGAATGTGTAGTGTGTAGATCGATAAGGTGCCGGTGACAAAAGCCGTATAGTTGGATTGGGATTGTGTTGGGCTGTGAGTGCGTTTCGGAGAAATCCAAGAGCAAACGTGATTGCGACGAAACGTGCCCGTACGCTCTGTTGTCTGCACGATGGCTACCTGCTTTTATTGCCCACCCTGCAGGGATGCAGGCGGTGTGTAACCGTATCTGCCATTATAATCGCACATGTTGGTGTCGGTGCCACTCTTGCATGCCTCTAAATAACTAAATATGCAAATTGTTTATGATATATGCTATAAAATCATAAAATTATCAATTTTATCACGTTGAGTAACAAAAATTAACAAGTATTGAGATTTACGTGGATTGACATCTGTCTAATCATTTGTAAGTTGAGTATAAACTCAATTACTCTTGTAAAAATGCGGTAAATAAATAAATTTGTTAGAAATGAAAATATTTTTGTTGTTACACAGAAGAAATTAATATAAAATTAAATTATACATTTCATCGTTATACCGAGTATATCGTTAAATCCTGTATTTAAAATAACAAATATTGTGATTTACGCGAATAGACATCTGTCCAATTATTTGTAAGCTGATTATAAACTCAATTACTCTTGTAAAAAAGCCGGTAAATATTTCCTGAAGTCTAAATATGAATTCCGAGTCGCTCAGTTGTATTCACTTGTGTTTTGGTTAAATGATTTTTTGTAACTGCTTGTGCACCCCAACAAATTAGCTGAAAAATCGTGCTTATGTTAAAGAAATTAGCATTGCAATTTGTAGAGATGTAGGGATCATAATCACAACAATATTTCAAATGTTACCATCAATATCATGTCTTTAAAAAAATATTCTAGCTCATAATTCACTAGAAATGAAAATATTTTTCGTTATTTCACAGAAGAAATTAATATAAACCGATTAAATTATACACATTGCATCGTTATACCGAGTATATTGTCAAATCCTGTATTTAAAATAACAAATATTGTGATTTACGCGGATAGACATCTGTCCAATTATTTGTAAGCTGATTATAAACTCAATTACTCTTGTAAAAATGCCGGTAAATATTTCCTGAAGTCTAAATATGAATTCCGCGACGCTCAGTTGTATTCACTTGTGTTTTGTTTAAATGATTTTGTTGTAACTGCTTGTGCACCTCAAGAAATACGCAGAAAAATCGTGCTTAAGTTAAAGAAATTAGCATTGCAATTTGTAGGAATATTGGGATCATATTTACAATAATAGTTTATAAATTACCATCGATGTCATGTCTTTAAAAAATATTCCATCTCATAATTCGCTAGAAATGAAAATATTTTTCGTCGTTACCCAATTTAATACCAAACCAATTTAATTTTATACATTTTGCCGTTATACAGAGTATGTCATTAAATTCCAAATTTACATAGTTGAGCACTGGTGCTGTGTGCACATGTTGCTATTGCTGCAGTATTTGTTCAAGTGATGTTGATTACATTTCCGAGTTGAGACTAAAATTAACAAACTCGTCACATGCCGATTAAGTGGCACATTTTTCACATCGACAAACAAGTTCGCTGGCTGACGTTTCGCGCTCGAAACTATTTTAAACATTACGAAATATCAAGCCAACGGAGATTGACCCCTTTGGCGCGCGCTCGTACACATACTCATACTGCACTTGTTTACTAAACGCATACATTGTTCGTTTTTGGCGAAATCGTGTGTTTGAAGCTCGTAAACCTAATTAAAATCGTACGCGCATTGTATTTATACTCATTCGACGCTTTCTAGCTTTAATTCCATCGCGCAATGAAACAATTTAGCGTTTTAGCGCGTTTAACAATTGCCGATTGTATGATAATTATCAAAACAATTTAATTTTAATTCAAGCGCTAATCGTAACTATCTGTTAATGCTCTTTTGTATAAAAGCGGTATATAAACTTGTTTTTTGAAATTATTTCGAAAATGTTGTCTTGGCACTCGTACAAAATACACAACAAAACGATCATCATGAAAAGATGATGTTTTGAGTCGATGCCAAAGTGAAAAGTGCATAATTTGAATTGAATTAAATTTAAACTCAAAGCAATGTCAAGTTTATTTTGATGATGAATGCGAAAATGTCCATAATGATGCAATCATTCCGCGTAGTTTTCCGGCTCGTTTGCTTCATTTGCAATAAAAACGCGAGCGCGCATTTATCGACGCACGCAGTGAAATTTGATTATTCTTTATCGCGCTGCAATTTCTTTCGCGATCGAGTACCTACTACTCGTCGTTGGGAGTTAATGTCTTGGGTGTAAAGTCGGCAAGATCGTAACGTTTTCGAATGGCTGCACTAAAGTGAACTATACGGTACTATATTGCGAGCGAAAAAATTGCAAACTTGATGACCGCCATTGTCGTTTACGTTTTCGTTTTTCGCGTATGTGTGTGCGGTGTATGTCCCACGTCGTCTTTCAAGTTCAGCCGTAAAACATAACGATGCTACTTGCAGCCATACGTACGTGAATAAAAGACGTTCCACTAAATTTTGTTATTTTTTTGTGTGTTACAGGTGAGTTTTTCACTTTTTTCAACTGAAAATACATTCTGGGTAACGGTAGGTTTAGTTTTGTTAATACGTCAATATCCTGTCAACATGTGCGCGAGGGTAGAACCACTGCCATTCGTATGAGTGAAAAAATAGGTGCGCCGTCATTTGATGATTAAAATTTGTCGATTTTCGATTGCCCAATGTCCGGTCATTTAACCAGGAAATTATCACCGAAATTGGAATTTGTTAATTCCGTTCATCGGAGACGTTTTAATATTGCGCAGTCGACGAAGCACGCTGCGTGAATATTTGAACGTCTGCGAATAATGCAATCGCATTCATCGATCGGCATCATTGCATATTGAAGGCGTCGCATTTTTATTCGAGTTTATTGCGTTGCGCTTCCTTTTCCACTCCGGAAAAAGGCTGTCATCTGGCATACGGAAGTGAAATAGAGATGAAAAGATGTAGTAAGGTAAAGACTCGTCCAGTCTCTGGAATATATTTCGCCGACGCGTCCCATGCATGCGAAATGAGTTTCTGGTAAATTATGCTCGGATATGAACCCGAATGAAATGAAACTCAACATTTATCTTTTGTCTAGCTCCAGTTTT